GTGCTGTGGGCAGGCAACAAACACTTCCCCTCCTCCTGATATGCTTGCCTCTTGCTTGGGTGGCTCTGCCAGACAAGTCGTACATGATAAGGAGCTCTTGCTCAGCATGTATTTACATGTGTGTGTGTGCCTGTGCATGCTGGAAGCTCAGAGTAGAGCAGGGCAGAGAGTCAGCGGTCCATGTTTCCCCGCAGACCCTGTTGGAATGACAGAGCCCTATGAATAACCTCATTCTAGCTTTTTACCCCTCAGGATGAGTCTAGAGAAGACACCAGTGATTCTGAATCTAATCCTTCCTCTGTTGTTGCCTTACTGGGTGGCCCGGCATCAGCTATAAAGTCAGGTAACTTTGCCTACTCTGGGGCTAATTAGCCAGCCTGGGGATGACTCAGTTCTTCCTCTGCTTCTTCCTCCTCCTCCTCCTAAAGAGCCTGTTCAATTAGGACTTGTATTCAACGGCTGGTTAGCAGAAGCCTGGAAAACACTGGCTCGAATGTATTTTTTAGCTTCTGCAAAAGAAAGCCAGAAGTTGGCAATCTTCAGGGGCCCAGATTCCTTTGGCTTTCCAGCTGACCACCCATTCGTAGGGTATGGCCCTATTCCCCCTTCTCTCAAGATGACTGCTAAAGCTTGTCATCCTATCTCCATTTCAGGCATAAATTGAGGAAGAGCAAAAAACTACAAGGGTGTCTGCCAGCTGAGTCTAGAGAAGTACCACGGAATGACACATGCATACATCTCATTGGCTAGAAGTGTGTCCCATGACCATCCAAACCTCGAGTGAGGCTAGGAAACACAAGGGATTCCATCACAAAGCCCCAGTGTCAGGAACTCAGACTTTTTATCCTATTCCCTTGCACAGGGAAATATAGGGTTCTTCCTCTCGGAGCAGAAGGGGGCCAACTCTTGCTCCCAGGCAGACACTCGCAGGCTCAGTGGATACACAGTTTGTGGGTCAGAGGGTCGAGTGTGCCCACACCCGACTGTGTCCAAGTCCTCAGTCCTGATGCCTGAGAGTGGACTTGTCAAGCCAGAGGTTGAGCAGTGATTTTCTTCCCTCCAACTCAAGCCGCAGGCACTATGCTCCCTCTCAGGGCACCAATGCCTCCGTGGAGGAGAACTCACCCAAACAATGCACTTTGGGGTGGCAGCTATGTTTTCAGAGGGAGAAGGCAGACAAGAAGAGAAATTTGACACCTCAGTTGTCCATCTCTTCTAAATAAAATGTGAGCTTATTTTTATTATGAAAGTAAATAGAAGATACAGAGTAAAACACTCCCATGTACAGAAGAGGGTGAGTAAAGTTCTCATTCCTTCTGGTTCCTGCCTGTGTCCTCAGTCCCATGGCCCAGAGGTTACACCTTGGTAGTTTCCATGGCCAGTTTCTAAATGTTTTCTTTGCATTTATGTATATATGCACATTGTTTAAAAAACAGAAATGGGATCACATTTTACATGCTCACCTACAATTTGATTTTTCCATATAGTTTCTTGGTGCTCGTGCCATATTACCACCTGTAGAACCCCCTCATTTTGTTGTGTGGCTAGGTGGTATGAAGATACCAGAATTTATTTATCCAGTCACTAGCTGAAAAACACTGTGGTCTTTCCAGGCTTTTTGCTACCAAAATCATTGTTGTAATACTCCAACCCTTTTGTCAGGATTCCTGTCTCGTGACAGGAATTATTATCTGGGCATTGAATCTGGCAGGTTGGGGAGAAAGAGCTTTGCTGCCTCTGGGAAGACTAGACCTATGGTCCCTGGGTCCTCTGAGGAGAGCCTCAACCCATGGTTTTCCCCTTTTCCCCAGGAAACTCCTACCTACTGACTCCACTCCAAGGGCAAGGCAGGGCTGACACACGTGGGCGGCTGGGCAGGCTAGTAATCTGGTGCTCTGGGAAAATAAATAATATTGGGGTTCCTTCAACTGATATTTGGAAAAATACTTGTTCAGCTCTTATTTGGAGGCAAGGCTGAGTGCTGAGGAGAGAAGAAGGTGGCCTGGTGGTGGCAGTTCTCACTGTCCTCTTGGTCACAAGAAGAAGGAACCCACTCTACAGCTTACTGGAGCAATCCTTCTTGGAAGGGATTTCAGGGACTACTTGTGTACATCTCCGGGCGTCTCCTCCTTCCACCTCCTAAACTCCATCTGAAGCCCTTGATTCTTTCTGACCATAAAACAATACTCATCCCCAGAGAAGTTCTGGAAGTTGCCATTTTCTCCAGTCCCAATGTCATTTCCAGTTAATTTTATCCCTACAACAATGCCATTGAGCTCCCCAGTGATGTTGCAATGCCCATTAGAGCTGAGGCCTAGTGGCTCCATCCCTTAACTTGGCTCAGCTGTGGACCCCTGGAATTTCCCTTGCCTCCAAGATCAAGGCCAGTCTCTTCAAAAGGGGCTTTATTGCTACAGGTTTGCCCATGGCCTGTGACCATATTAGGCAGTCTGGAGTAGGCTGGATGCCCCAGCTGGTTAGAACAAGGAAGTAATGACCTTGTGAATAAATCACTTTTCTTTTTTTAATAATTTTTAAATTTTTTTATAAACATATAATGTATTGTCAGCCCCAGGGGTACAGGTCTGTGAATCGCCAGGTTTACACACTTCACAGCACTCACCATAGCACATACCCTCCCCAATGTCTATAACCCCACCTCCCTCTCCCTATCCCCCTCCCCCCCGGCCACCCTCAGTTTGTTTGTGAGATTAGGAGTCTCTTATGATTTGTCTCCCTCCCGATCCCATCTTGTTTCATTTATTCTTTTCCTATCCCCCAAACCCCCCACATTGCATCTCCACTTCCTCATATCAGGGATATCATATGATAGTTGTCTTTCTCTGATTGACTCAAGAAATCACTTTTCAATTTAATTTTAAAACCATGCTATGTTCTGTTTAAATGCTTCTCTCTTAAATTTTGTCATTCTATAAGCTTCTGTTTATAAATTATTAAAAGGAAAGGTGGCTGCAAGCCCTGTTTGTCAGCAGGTCCCTGAGAGCAAGAGGAGAGCCTTTGGAATGTCCAGCAAACTGAATATCATAAGATGACAGTTTGGATTTCAGAGATGATCCCTGGATACTCTCTGGTGTCCACAAACTCTGCCCTGGACCCAGCCATCATCGGATATAATGCCTTGTGTATTTCGGTTACAAAGGAGACCTTACAAATGAGCATGAGGAGCTCATCCCATCACTATTGCTGTTATGATAGAACAACTCGAAGTATGTTCTGCCAGTAGTGATAGTATTAGATCATCTAGCTGTAGACAAGGCCACACCCAAAGACCCCAGACTATGGTGTTACCTGGCTGCCTGTGCAGAGCAAAGAGAGTAACGATGTATCAAGTATGCCTCCAACCCCACATCCACAGTAGACATCCTGAGTGGTTCCTTCTTGCCCCTGACTGAACTCAACCTTGACTTTTTTTTTCCCCCCTAAAAATTGGTTGACTAATTGGTTGGTCACTACCAACCAATCAGATCTAGTGCAAAAGTCAAAACCTATTTGCCATCCTGGGCCTAGAGAATATTCAAAATCAAGTGTGGCAACAAACACTTTTCTGCAAATGTAGTTTGCCAAATTATCCCAGCTTTCACTTGCCAATCTGAGGGCAAATTCGAGGCTTTTTCTTTTTCTTCATTCTAAAGTCACTAAGCACCAATACGTCCAGGCACTTACTCAGCACTACAATAAAAAAAGATATTTGAAAGATTTGTCTTCAATTAGCTCACAAACCAGAGATGTACATATCTTACTGTGACACGTCTTGGCAAGTGTGTTATTAGTGCTTGAACTGTGTGTGTACAGAAGAAGAAAGAAGAGTTTGAACTGCCCTGGAAGCGTTCTTGGCAGGTAGAGAATGAGGGATACCACCCAGATGTAGGAAAAGAATGTGTGCAAGTCTTGGAATGCTAAAAAGACATGGTGCATCCTGGGAAGACTGAGCATGAGGTCTGGTGGAAGGGTGAGGCCATGGGAGGTAGGCAAAGAGGAAATGAGCCTGGAAAGATGCACCAAAGCTGGCTGGTTGCACCAAAGGAGATCACTCCTGCTTTGACTTGAGCTATAGGATCCCTGTCCCCTTGTTGACCCAGGCACCCTCTCCTCCATCTGCCTGCACTTCTGTTTTCTGCTCCATGGTGGGCTGCATGCCTGGCCACTTGACACGCTGCTCTCTGGCTCCATCATCCTCGGAAGTCTGCAGGGTGGGCAAAGCTTCCATTCATACTAGAGACTGCTGGGGAGCCTTGTAGTAGGAACTGCTTAGGAGCTTGTATCTGAGTCGCTGGTATACAAGCATTGGATGATCTCGTTGAGGAAAAGAGGATGAAGCCCTGAAAATATCTTGTCTTTGGCTTTTTGATCTATAGTGCTTTCCCCAAACTTCATGAAGCAAACATAAATCCATTAGTCAATACAGAGCCTCTCAGACCTCTCTGTGAGACTCCACCAAAGATCTGTGACCTCAGACCTCAGAGACATGTGTGACTCCACCAACTCAACTGGCACTTAATCATGTATTGCTGAATGTCATTACTTAATTTTCCCATTAGGTCATAAACTCTTTTGTATCCCTGTATAGCACATAGCAAAGTGCTGGGAACATGGTAAACAAACACTAAGGGTTTGTTAAGTGAAAAAGTGAAGGGGGAACATGTTGAATGAAAAAGGGTTTGTTAAGTGAAAAAGTGAAGGGGGAACATGTTGCCCCTGAAAAGGGGCAAATGGACAGCCAGACTTTAAAGTATTCTGTTTAGTTGTATTTGGTCGTGGATACCATTTGTGACTCTTGTTTTGTCATTTAACTCTCTTAGCCTCAGTTTCCTTACCAGTAAATTGAAGATATTCTTACCAGCTCTACACAGGTTACAGGGTTATGTCCAACACCAAATAAGAAATCATACGTGCAAGTACTTTATGATCTGTTAAGGTAAACTATTAGGATTTTCTCTTAATGTCATATAATCATAAAATATTTTCCTTCTTACTTTTAGACTTGCAACCTTATTTCTTGAAAGAGGGCCAAACAGGATAGGTGGTCTTTACAAAAAGGCTGTTTACAGACATTACACAGATGAGACCTATTCCACGGAGATCCCCAAACCTCCCTGGCTTGGATTCCTGGGCCCTATCTTGAGGGCTGAAGTGGGTGATGTGATTGTCATCCATTTAAAGAACTTCGCTTCCCGACCATACTCTTTGCATCCACATGGCGTTTTCTACAACAAAGATTCAGAAGGTAAATATCAATCCTGTATTATTGGTGTCTTGTCTCTATTTCATAAGGAAGGCAATTGTCAGCTACAGTTAAAGGGATCGAAGAGACAGTGATGACACATGTCGATTTGTCTTTTCCCCATCTCCTTCTCTCCCATCTCCATCTGCTCCTCCTGATAGAAAAAACTTCAAAAACACTATCAACCAACTTGACCTAATTGACATCTACAGAACGTTCTGTTCAATGACTAAAGAATATATCTTCTTTTCGAGAGGTGTATTTTGAGAGGGTATATGAAAACTCCTCAGGATAGACAGTAGGCTGTGCATAAAATAAATCTAAATAAATTTAGGTTGCAAGGTGTATTCTCCAATAACAATGGAATTCAATTTGATATAATCAATGAAAGAAATCTTGCAAATTCTTTCAAACATTTGGAAATACACAGTATACTTCTAAATAACCCATAGGTAAAAGAAATCACTAGATAAATTGTAATTATAAATTGAATTGAATAAAAATGGAGATAAAACATAACCAAAATTTATGGTAAATAGCTAAGAAGTACTTAAAAGGAAATTTCGAGCTTTAGACACTTATGTCAAGAGAGAAGAAAAGTCTCAAATCAATAACATTAGCTTCCACCTTAAGAAACTAGAAAACAAAGAGGAAACAAAACCTAAAGAAAGCAGAAAGAAGGAAATAATAAGGACTGGAGCAGAAATTCAAAGGAGAAAACAGAAAAATAATATAAAATTGATTAAGCCAGAAGTTGGCTCTTTGAAAAAGATTAACAAAATTGAGAAAGTTTATCTAGTCTGATGAAGACAGAGGGCACAAATTACCAAAATCAGGAATGGGAGATGGAACATCACTTTGACCATACAAAAATTAAAAAGATTATGAGGGAGGATTATAAGCAGTTTTATGCCAAAATATGAGACAACTTAAATGAAACTGACAAATTCTTAGACAAAAATTACCCAAATTGACTTAAGAATAAATAAAAATTTGAATAGACCTATAAAATGTAAAGAAATGGAAATAGCAATTAAAAATCTTCCCTCAAAGAAAAACTCAAGCTCAGATGGTTTCATTTATAAATTCTATAAACTACTAAAATAACAATAATGCCAATTCTTAACAAAATCTTTTAGGAAATAGAGGAATACTTCCAAATTCATCCTATGAGGCAAACATCATCTTGATACCAAAGCCAGATAAAGACATCACAAGAAAACTACCGACCAATATTCCTCACGAATGTAGACACAAAAGTTCTTAACAAAATATTAGCATATTAAAATATGTTGACTTCAGCAACATATAAGGAGAATTATACATCATGACCAAATGGAATTTATCCTATGATTGGAAGGTTAGTTTAACACTCCAAAGCAAATGAATGTTGGGGAACCTGGGTAGCTCAGTCAGTTAAGTATTTGACTCCTGATTTTGGCAGGTCATGATCTCAGGGTTGTCTGATATAGCCCTGGGTCAGGCTCTATGTTGAAGGTGGAACCTGCTTAAGATTCTCTCTTCCTAGTAAATGAAACAAGTTGGGATTGGGAGGGAGACAAACCATAAGTGACTCTTAATCTCACAAAACAAACTGAGGGTTGCTGGGCAGAGGGGGGTTGGGAGAGGGGGGGGTTATGGACATTGGGTAGGGTATGTGCTATGGTGAGTGCTGTGAAGTTTGTAAACGTGGAGATTCACAGACCTGTACCCCTGGGGGGAAAAATATATATATATGTTTATAAAAAATAAAATTATAAAAAAAAAAAAAGATTCTCTCTTCCTCTCCCTTTGCCCCTCCCCCAACCCCATTCATGCACTCATGCTCTCTCTCTCTCTCTAAAAAAAAAATTTAAGAAAAAAATAAATGAATGTAATATAACATATTAATAGAATAAAAGACAGAAACCACATGATCATCTCAAGAGGTACGGAAAGGCATTTAACAGGATCTAGTACTTATAAATTAAAAATTTCTAACAAACTAGAAATAGACAGGTACTTCCTCATCCTGATAAAAGTTATTTAAGAAAAACCCACAGCTAACATCATGCTTCATGGAAGGGAGACCGAATAAAAGTCTTCATAAGATTGGGAATAAGGCAAAAATGTCTGCTCTCACTGCTATTATGAAATATTGTCCTGAAGATTCTACCCAATGCTGGACAGGTCTGCTAGCAGTAAACTCAGTCTTTGTTTATAGAACATCTTTACTTTACCATCCTTTTTTGAGGGGTAGTTTGCTGGATATGGTATTCTCCATTTGCATCGCTCCCCAGCCCCAGCACATTGAGTATATCATCCCACTGTCTTTTTGTCTCCAGTATTCAGATGGGAAGTCAACTGTTAATCATGTCAATACTCCCGTGTATGTGATGAGTCATTTTTCTCTCACTTCCAGTATTACCTCTTTGATGTTTTTTCCTAATAATTTGACAACAATGTGTCTATGTATAGGTTCTTTGTATTTATCCTACTTGTGGTTCATTATGCTTCTTTAATGTGTAGATTAATGTTTTTGACCAAATTGAATAATTTTGGGTCATTATTTTTACATTTTTTTTCTGTCCCTTTTTCTTTCTTTTTCCCTTTGGCAGGCTATTATTACACATGTTAATATACCTGGTGTTGACCCACAGGCCTCTGAGGTTCTGCTTATTTTCTTTGATGTTTTATTTCTTTGATCTTCCCGCCCCCTCTTTTTCAGATAGGATAATTCTACTATATTCAAGTTCACTGATTCTTTTGCCATCTTAACAACAGTGTTAAGACCCTCTAGTGAATGTTTTAAATAATTCATTGTACTTTTCAATGCCAAAACTCCAACTTTGTCCTTTTAATAATTTCTACCTCCTTGTTGAGATTTTTTGATTTGTTGAATCATGATGTCCTACTTTTCTTTAATTATTTAAACATGGCTTCTGTTAATGGCTTGAACATTTTTCTAATAGCTACTTTAAAGTTTGTATCTGCTCAATTTTACATCTGGAGACACTTAGAGATAATTTCTATTGGCTGCTTTTTTTTCTCTGAGACTAGGTCACACATTCTTATTTCTTTGTATGTCTCATTTTGTTGTTCTTGTTGGAAACTGGAAATTTTTGAGCATATATTGGAGCAACTCTGGATTCAAGTCCTTCCCTCATCCAAGGTTATTTTTGCTATTGGTTTGTTTTTTGGTTAGTAACTTACCTGGGCTAAATCCATGAAATCTGTCTTCCCTATAATGTGTGGCCACCAAGGTTTCTGTTTTTTCTTTCTTTCTTTCCTTTTCTTTTCCTTTCTTTTTTTTTTTTTTTTAAGATTTCATTTATTTATTTATTTGATAGAGAGAGACACAGTGAGAGAGGAAACACAAGAAGAGGGAGTGAGAAAGGGAGAAGCAGACTTCCCGCTGATCAGGGAGCCCAATGTGGGGCTTGATCCCAGGACCCTGGGTTCATGACCCAAGCTGAAGGCATATGCTTAATGACTGAGCCACCCAGGCACCCTGTCTTTCTGTCTTTTTTCTTGTATTCATTTTTAAGGCTGGCTTCTAAGGGGTCACCTCTAAATCTGCTTAGCTTTGAAGTCGGCAGATGCTGGGACAGAGATGTTCTTAAGCATCAGTATGTCCTCAGTTCTCTGCAGCTGGAATTGTGGGTGGATAGAGAACACATTCAGAGTTTTGGTGGTTTTTGTCTGCCTTGGATCTTAGGGTTTTTTTTTTTTTTTTTTTAAATTGTGTTAGTCACCATACAGTACATGACTAGTTTTTGGTGTAGTGTTCCATGATTCATTGTCTGCGTATAACACCTAGTGCTCCATGCCATTCATGCCCTCCTTAATCCCCATCACTGGGCTCACCCATTCTTCCATTCCCCTCCCCTCTAAAACCCGCAGTTTTTTTCCCGGAGTCCATAGCCTCTCATGGTTCCTCGGATTTTAGTTTTTGCTGGGCCCTTTGCTTCTCCTCTTTGCAAGCACACAGCATTAGAGTCAGCTGGGAGTAGGTAAATAACTGACGTTCAGCAGTTGTTCAAGCATAAACATTGCTGGATGCCTTTATTTGATTCCGCAGCAATGAAATGGTTGTTTTTCTCAATTTCGTTCCACTTTACATTACTTTTGGGGGAGAGGATTTGCTGACTTCCTCACTCTCTATCTCTCTCTCTTTTTTAAGGTTTTATTTATTTATTTGACAGAGAGAGCGAGAGAGATAGCACAAGCAGGGGGAGTGGCAGGCAGAGGGAGAGGTAGAAGAAGGCTCCCCTGTTGAGCAAGGAGCCCGATGCAGGACGTGACCCCAGGACCCTGCTCAACCAACTGAGCCACCCAAGCACCCACCTCCTCACTCTCTTTTGATGAGTTTTTCTCTTGGCTACCATTGCAAGCTTGCTAGTCTGAAAGTCCCTGCTTAGTTCAATTTTGTGTTTACTGTGCACTAGACCCAATGTTGGATACTGGGGCTGCAAAAATGAATAAATACATAGTTGTTCCTTCCAAGTTCATCTGGGGAGTGCTGGAGAATGAACCCAGAAGTCAGTGGGTGGGATTAACATTGATTAAGCAGTTCCTAGTATGCCAATGCCTATTCTAGAACTCTTACATACAATGTCTCACTTATTTTTATTTTAAGATTTTATTTATGTATTTGACACACAAGAGATCACAAGTAAGCAGAGAGGCAGGCAGAGAGAGAGGGAGGAAGCAGGCTCCCTGCTGAGCAGATAGCCCGATGTGGTACTCGATCCCAGGACCCTGGGATCACGACCTGAGCCGAAGGCAGAGGCCCAACCCACTGAGCCACCCAGGCAGCCATACAATGTCTCGCTTATTAATGGAATTAGCTAGTGCTTTCTTGATCTCCATATGAAATACAGTTAAGTATTAGGATTACTTAAAAATAAATGTTATCGCTTTTTAATTTCAGAAAAACATAAAAAAGGGGTAAATATCTCACATTCTCATTTCCTACTTAAAATAAGCCTAAAACAAAAGATTAAACAAGAAGTAGTATATGAACATGGTTAGAAAATTTTAGGGGTGCCTGGGTGGGTCAATTGGTTGAGCATCTGCCTTCAGCTCTGGTCATGATCCCACGGTCCTGGGATCAAGTCCTGTATCAGGCTCCCTGCTTAGTGGGAAGCCTACTTCTTCCTCTCCCTCTCTCTCTCCCGGCTGCTCCTCCTTCTTGTGCTCTCTCTGTATGTCAAATATATAAAATCTTAAAAGAGAAGAAAATTTTATGAGTACAGAGAAGTATAATAAGAAAAGTAAAAATTCTTACTTGGCTCTTATCTGAAAAACAATCACCTTTAAAAATGTCATCATCTTGGAGATTTTCTCATATAACACACATAGAAAGACCTTTTAACTTATGCAATATCGCATTGTATGAATATATCAGTCTGGTACATTGATGATTATTGATGACTGATGATGATTATTTAGGTTGCTTTCAGTTTGGGGTTGATACTGCCAATTCTACAACAAATACATCAGTTCATGTATTTTGAAAACCATTTTCAAAGATGTTTCTGGAGTAAATTCTTAAAAATAAAATTGCTGGTTATATTCAAATACTCTTTCTTCTTTCTTTCAAAACGAATCGACAAGTTGTCCTCCAAAAAAATTGCACGCTGTCCTGCTACTTGTTTATGAGCTGGTCTGTCTCTCCTACAACTTCACCAATCCTCAATATTCTCAAACCTGATGGGGTGAAAATGTGTATATTTGAATTTCTAAAAGCCCACACATTCTAGAATACATAAAACCAAATGAATGTTTAAAAATATTCTTATATTGTTTATGTTATATTGCTCAAAACCTTTGACAAATCAAAATTCCATTGACAAATCAAATAAAAATTTGATTTTGATTTGACAAATCAAAATTCCTTCCTGGGAATAACTTACAGAACAACTTAATAAGCTATCCCACCCTGAATCGCTTTTTACTTTATATTCACGGTATCTTTTGGATTCCAAATGATCTTCCTCATCTTGAGTGGTGATACCAAGGATTTGTTTGGGGACTCCAGCCTTTCCATAATACCTTTCAATAATAGCAATCAATACTTCCCAATAATAAAGAGCAAAAAGAAAGCACATAAATAAATTGTGCAAAAAAGAGTCTCAAGAAAAATTATTACTTGTATTGATTTGTATCATATAATCAAAGCAAAATGAGTGATCTCAGTTGAAGGCTCTAGACAAGTCCACTATCCACCCACCCTCCCCCAGCTACTGACCCTCAGTCTCTCATATTTAAATTCAGAAGCTGCAAAGCTATGCATTTTATTCACAAGGCTTTGGTGTATGGTGTACAGTCATGCCACTCATTCATTATTTTATTCAGTAGATATGTACTGAGCACCCATTGTACTAACCACTGAGTTGGACCTTGCATACAAAATTATGAACAAAAAAACCCTGGGTGGTTTTTTTTGTGGAATTGTAGTCTAAATTGAGAGACAGACATTAATTAAACAATTATACACACAATATTATACATATATAATTAAAACCTTGGGCAAGTGCTATGAATGAAAAAGTGATTTACTGAAATCTTATTATATGCCAGGTGCTGTGATAAGTGTATTGTAGATCTTATGTCATGTAAGCCTCAACAACTCTGAGATAGGTCTGATAACTACCACCCTTTTCCAGATAAGAACCCAAGGCTCCTAGAAGAGAAGGAAATTGCCCAAGTTATAGGTAACAAGAGATGGAGATAGGATTTGATTCCACTAGTCTAACTTCAATAGCTCTGAACTTAACCATTGGTTATACTGCCCTTCCTTCTGTGTGAATGCATTTTAGAAAACTGACCTAGTTCAGGGAGTTTGGGATTGCAGGTTTGTGAATGGATGGTGAATAAGTGAAAGAATGGAGAATGAACTTGGGTGTGTCCACACCCATCTCCTCGGCACCTCACCCCCCCCAGCCTTCTCCCCAGTACCATCCAGCTCCTCCCAGTCCTTTCCTGCCCCTACCTTCTATCCAGGTGGTTATCAAACTAGTTTTAGCAGTGGACTTTCCTTAATTGAAAACCCTTGTGCAATCTTAGTTTACAAAACAGAGAAAGGGAATGACATGCCTAGGCACCCCTACCCACTCTGTGGTAGACCACCCCTCCACCTAGCAAAACCTCAAATAGTGTTCAACACATCATCCTATTTTACTCTCCACTTGTCCCATGTGCTAATAATTCCTATTCTGGGGGCACCTGGGTGGCTCATTGGGTTAAGCCTCTGCTTTCAGCTCAGGTCATGATCCCAGGGTCCTGGGATCAAGCCCCTCATTGAGCTCTCTGCTCAGTGGGAAGCCCGCTTCCTCCTCTCTCTCTGCCTGCCTCTCTGCCTACTTGTGATCTCACTCTCTGTCAAATAAATAAAAGTTTAAAAAAATAATAATAATTCCTATTCTGGTCAGCTCAACAGAACGGAGGATGAATGTCTTACTGTTCCTTCCTATCTTTCGTGAGAACTCAAACAGGTGCTGAATCAGTAACAAGTACCCAATAATTTCATTATTTCTTCTTATTTATTATTTATTATTAGAGAGAGAGCACAATGGAGGGAAGGGCAGAGGGATAGAGAGAGAGGAAGACTCTCCACTGAGCAGGGAGCCTAACGCAGGACTTGATCCCAAGACCCCAAGATCATGATCTGAGCCAAAGTCAGATGTTTAACTGATTGTGCCATCTAGGCACCCCTCTCCTTTCCCTTTTGAGTTGCTGTTAAGTGAAGTGGATTCAAATCTTCCTGATCGGCACAAGAGGCCCATCCGAAGGGGTCCTTATGAACATTTATTAAGCATCTGGTTTTGTGCAGGACACTTGATACACATCATGTCAGCTAGTTCTCAGGTCCTTGTGGGGGTAGGTATCAACATTCTAGCTTCACTGAAGAAAACCAAGGTATTGAGAATTTAAGTATCTTGCCCCAATCCCACAGGAAATAAATTTAAATTTATTTGATTTAAAATGTAATTAATTTATTTGATTTAAATTTATTTGATTTAAAATTATTTGATTCCAAAGCTCAGTGAGCCCTGCTCACTGTAGCCAGCGATCTCTGTAGGTTAACTATGTTTTATCTTTTCTCGGAAGGAGCCCTATACCCAGATAGAACTTCTGGAAGAAATAAGAATGATGATATGGTTCCTCCTGGCAGAAACTACACCTATGTCTGGCCAGTGAGAGAAGAATATGCCCCTGCTCCAGCGGACGCCAACTGTCTGACCTGGGTGTACCATTCACACATTGATGCTCCTAAGGACATCTGCTCTGGGTTAATTGGCCCGCTCCTGGTGTGCAAGGAAGGTGAGGAGCTCCTCCACCCCCAACACACACACACACGCACGCACGCACGCACGCACAGAGAGAAGCCTATTCCCAAATGTGTTTTGCCACCCTTCCTTGCTCCATTCGAAGGTACCTTTTCTTTCACACTTTCTGTAAGATTAGGGAGACTCTTCTAACATGGAAGGTTAGATTCTTCTAACAGCAGGGGCAGTAATTCAGACTTCTGTCAAGGAAACATCATAGCATTCTGGAACTTAAATGCTTTAAGAAAGAAAGCAAACCAGGGACATACCATACTGATAGCCATTCATGCCAGCCCAACACTACACACAGGAAAGTGAGGAATGTAGCCAAATGGCTAGATTTGGTTTTGTTTTGATATTTCACATGCATGATCACTTTGTGATTTTGTTCCCCATTAATTGCCTTAGTGTGTCTGTGCTCTGTCAGTAACACTGGCTCCCTCCTGGAGCAAGGTTTTCAAGTCTCTGGTTGTGAGGGCTTCTGTTTTATGACTTTTCTCTTCTATGATTCTGTCATTTCTATTAAAATCCTTTCTGCTTTCATGTTGTGGTCACTCTTGTTCCTATAAGTCTTTGGCCAACTTCAGACTTACCTGATACCATTGGCAAAAGGCAAAAAATCATCTTGATTTAATTCACTTTGAACTTTTTTCTCCACTTTTTTTGGATGTCCCCCCTGGATAGGTGTCCTGAATAAATATTCAGGGGCAAGGACAGATGTGGACCGAGAGTTCATTATAATGTTTACTCTGGTGGATGAGAATCAAAGCTGGTACCTTGATGAAAATATCAGACATTTCTGCACCAACCCTGATTCGGTTGACAAAAAAGATGCTGTTTTCCAGAGAAGTAACAAAATGCATGGTGAGTGTCTCCAGTATTATCAAATATATACTGAATGCTTTTTGTGGATCTGATACTATGAGGGATGAAGAAACACAGAAAGTCTAACCTGGTTTTCTAGGATTGATAACTTGTGATAAGAATGGTTAGGAAGTGATAAAACACAGTCCATGTGAGAACATAAAACAATCTGAGAAGAGATGAGGCAATAGATATCCCCTGAATTGAGTATGGCAAGCTATGGTACAGAAAATGGAAGGGTTAGTTATAATCAGGAAAGAATCAGGAGGTGATCCTAGAGAGGATGGGTAGGTTTATGTAGACAGGAGAAAGGAAAATGAATCACCATCATGTAACAATTCTGTGGTTTGCAACCTTTTGCATTATTCTAGTAACCATTTCCTGAGTGATTGCTAAATTTCAAAAATCTTATTGTATGCTGCGTTTAAATACATACTTGTGAATTTGTTATATTTCCCAGCCATTCTGGTTTTTTTTTTTTTTTGAGAGAGAGAGAGAATCGTTTTTTTCTTTTTTTAAGGTTTTATTTATTTATTTGTCAGAGAGAGAGAGCACACAAGCAGGCAGAAGCAGAGAGAGAAGCCGACTCCCTGCTGAGCAAGGAGCCCCATGTGGGACTCAATCCCAGGATCCTGGGATCATGACCTGAGCCGAAGGCAGTGGCTTAACCAACTGAGCCACCCAGGTGTCCCGAGAGAGAGAAAATCTTAAGCAGACTCCACACCCAGCATGGAGCCCAACACAGCTCAATCTCATGACCCTGAGACAATGATCTGAGCTAAACCAACAGTTTGATGCTGAACTGACTGAGCTCCAGGTATCCCTCCAAGACAATCTTTAAATCAACATTTATTGAGCATTCACTATGTGCCAGACCCCATATTTGAAAATAGTGAAATTCTATAGTTATCCTCTCCATCAAGACAGACTACCTACTCATATCTGTTTTGCAGAAGAGTGGCTTAATACAGAATTTTAGGATGTGGGGATTATTAAGTAGTCTCATTCTTCTGTTTTCCCATAGAGTTCTAATGAACATAAAGAACATCTTCAATGTAAACAAACACCCCATGTCATTCACTGATAAATTTCCTCCATATTTGCTTCTCTATCTCCCAGAACCCACCCTAACCAAGATTTAGTTATAAAATCATAGGAGAGAGGGAAGGAGCTGAAGATCATCTGATCTCCCCCATTTTACAGATGAAGAAACTGAAGTCAAGAGACCATCAATGATTTGGAGCACCTGGGTGGCTCAGTGGGTTAAATTTGGCTCAGGTCATGATCCCAGAGTCTTGGGATCAAGCCCCACATCGGGCTCTCTGCTCAGCAGGGAGGCTGCTTCCTGCCCCTCTCTCTGCCTGCCTCTCTGCCTGCTTGTCATCTCTGTCAAATAAATAAATAAAATCTTAAAAAAAAATGAGAGGAAAAAAAAAATGAGAGAGACCACCAATGACTTGCCTAAGGTCAAAGTGATAATTAGGGCCAGAGTTGCTTGAGAGAAGCTCAGAAACAACTCCTTCAAGGAGGAGCCCATAGCAAATAAATGTTAATTTGGTTGTGTTTGATTCAAAAGTGCGTCAAGATATAAGCGTCAGTAACTGACGATTTCTATGGCGTCGCACACCCTCTCTCTTCTTTCTAGTGGTATTTCAGCAACCTTGTGTGAGGGGAGTATTTTAGTGTTTGGACAATATTTTAGGAGGGAAGAAGTAAAGGAGAGAAGGGAGGGAGGCAGGGAAGGAAGTGAAGGATGGAATAAAGAAAGACCTAAATTGTAAACATTGCTATAGCCAATCAACTTTTATCCACATGCTTTATAAAATGGTGGCAATGATCTCAAATCTTGCTGAAAACTACTGTGATGGTTTACAACTCAGCTGCCCACAGAATTCCTCTCACTCTTTCAAATGAAAATGTCCAACACAAAGGAATCAATTACATAAAGCAAATGCAGCCTGTATTTAAAATAAAAATGAGCCTGGGGGTGCCTGGCTGGCTTACTTGTAGATCATGGGACTCTTGATCTCAGGGTTGTAAGTTTGAGCCCCACACTGGGTATAAAGATGACTTAAAAATAAACTCTTAAAAAAAATAAAAAATAAGGGCATCTGGGTAACTCAGTTGTTTAAGCATCCAACTCTTGGTTTCAGCTCAGGTCATCATCTTGTGGTTGTGGGGTCAAGCCCCTTGTCATTCCACACTCAACTCTGAGTCTGCTGGATATTGTCTCTCATGCACTCTTTCTAAGATGGATAAATAAATATAATTTTAAAAAATAAATAAATAAAAATAAAAATCAGCCTTATGCAGAAGTAGATATTTGCAAACAATCAATCTTGCACATGTTGCATGGGGCACTGGGTGTGGTGCATAAACAATGAATTCTGGAACGCTGAAAAGAAATTAAAAACAAAACAAAACAGGGGCACCTGGGTGGCTCAGTGGGTTAAAGCCTCTGCCTTTGGCTCCGGTCGTGATCCCAGGGTCCTGGGATCGAGCCCCTCATTGGGCTCTCTGCTCAGCGGGGAGCCTGCCTCTCTGCCTACTTGTGATCTCTGTCTGTCAAATAAATAAATAAAATCATTAAAAACAAAACAAAACAAAACAAAAAAACAATCTTCTCTATCAATCTAATAGTAAAAGAGACCTAACCAAGAATAGAAGAACATAAACTTAAAAAAATAAAAAACAACAAAAACTAGTCCATAGAAGATGCTCAATCAATATAATAAGATTTATTGATAATTTTATTTAAATTTACTAAAATTATTTAGGATCAATTGTGCTGCCTTAATCATTGTTATCTTAATAACAATTGCTTTTTCACTCAGTTTGAATCTAAGAAGCGATATCATGACTCTTGGTGGGTACTAAGGAGGGCACGTATTACATGGAGCACTGGGTGTGGTGCATAAACAATGAATCTTGGAACACTGAAAAAAAAATAAAATAAAATTACAAAACCACCCCCCAAAAACGAAAAGACAAAAAACCAACTCTGAATCAAGTTTTCTTCTGCACTTGGTCAAGTCCTGGCTGCTGTTCAGATGATTCAAAAGATGAGGTCTCGGACTTCCAGCCTAAGTTGAATCAATTAAATGTTGACTCAGCAAGACCTAATAACAACTGTTTTTTCTCCCTGCTTTCCTTCTTCCTGCTCACTTTGGTTACTTAAATTAAGTAGCTCCTATGTGCCTGCTTTTCTGCTGGGTCCTGACAGCTGGGGAATGAGTGACACAGGATTTCCAATGTCAGGGAACAGAGTCCTGTAGGGAAGTCAGGTATGAAAATGAAGCATCCTTAGAGGAAGTGGCTGAGCCATCCTGAAAGTCTGAGCAGTGCTCTGTTCACTTCTGACCTCATTATTGTGTTCACACAGCAGCTCCAAGGCTGTTTTTCCTGCGTGCTCATCTCTACTTTCATTGAGTGCTTTTCTCTCAAAAAACCCAGTACCTTTCATTCCTTTCTGGGACCATAGCTTATGAAAGGAGCTATGCTTTTCTGCACAAAAACATTACAACTGACGATCGGGGCTAATTTTTCAGCCATGCTAGAGTATGTGTTACCGCCTCTACAGGGGAGATTCTTCCACCGGTGTGTTTCTGTTTTTCAGCCCTCAATGGATACCTCTTTGGAAACCTCCCAGAGCCTGAGATGTGTGTTGGTGAATCAGTGTCCTGGCACCTCTATGGGATGGGGAATGAGATAGACATCCATTCCATCTATTTTTATGGCAACACATTCATCAGCAGAGGGCATCGGACTGATGTCATCAACCTGTTCCCAGCCACCTTCCTGACAACGGAAATGGTAGTTGAGAATCCTGGGAAGTGGATGATAACTTGCCAAGTTAGTGATCACCTACAAGGTAAAAAGGACGAAGACCAGTGTAGTGTGTGGAGGTTTCGAGGGAGAAGATTATACCACAGTCAATGATGCTCATTCAGTGTCTGCTGTTAGATAGGTTCTTGTGTTATATTTAATTTGAATATAGAGGAAAATGTACAATGCTCATTTATGTGTCATCCTATCAACAGATATTTATTCATCAACTCCCTATAAAAAAGCTGGGAGGTGAATGAAAGAAATGGTAAGACCTTCAAGGAGCCTATGGTCTAGTAGCTAGAATTAGTTAGAAATTAGTTAGAAATGAGTAAAATTTTAGGCAGAAGGATAAATGCTCTTTGTTTGTTAGAGTTATTTCTCTATTACAAGCAGAGGGACTTCCTGAGGAATTAGCTCCTAATCTGAGTCCTGAAATATGGGTAGGAATTGAACAGATGCAGAAGGGAAGAAAGGCTTCCCAGGCAGAGTTAGCACCATGAAGCAGGAAAAAGACATATTGTATATGAGCAACTATAAATAGAAAAATAACATTTTAACATTGGAGAGAAATTTACACATAATCTGGACCAACCCACCATCCAATTCTTGAATTTCCTTTTGGACATCTCTTTGAAGTAATTGTAGCAACCCTTTTCATCCCTGGGCTGCTCTGTTAGAATGCTCTTCCGTATATTGAGACAAGATCCAATGATAATTGCAAAATCCTATTATTTACATGATAAACATTGTTTTTTACTTAAATGCCTATTGAATGACTTAGTCTTGGTCCCTTGGGACCACACAAAATGGGTCTCTACTCAGCTGGACCACAGGCTTATGCCAGAAGAGTGATAAGAGAGAAGCCTACAGAGGTAGAGCCTAGTGAGAGGAGATTTAAAAGGCAAGACTAAGAAGCCAGGACTGTGTCTGGAAAGCCAAGTGGGTTCTTCCACATCCTTAGACACATCAGTGACATAATCAGTGAGCAATTTAGGAAGATATGTATGATATCTGTGTGCAGAAAGGATTTGATAGAGAGATTCTGGCCATTGGATGCTAGTTAAGAAGCATTGTCAACATTAGAGTTAGACATAGAAAAAGTCTGGCCTAAGATGGTGAAAACAAAATAGATTTTTAGAAAGGTGTCAATGGAATAGACACAGAAGAAATAATGTGTGATTAAATTTGGATACCGACTCACTACCCACAGTCACCAGCAGGTACAGGGATGCGATTCTCCAGGACAGCTTTGATAACACATTCTTGTTCCTGTCAACCTTAAGCATCTAGTATTAACATTAGTCTGCTGGGTTATTCCAATTCAATTCAATTCAATTCAATAAATGTTGAGTGGATCAGTAAATATGTGCCAGATACTATTCTGGGAAGACAAAGTGATCAAGATTCCCATTCTTATTCCCCCCACCACCAGTTTTATTGAGGTATAATTGACACATAGGAATTGCATATTTTTAGGTTTGAAACTTGATTGATTGATTCATTCATTCATGAGAGACAGAGAAAGAGCCAGAGGGAGAAGCAGGCTCCCCACTGAGTGGGGATCCCAATGCAGAACTCCATCCCAGGACCCTGGGATCATGACCTGAGCCCAAGGCAGATGCCCAATCATCTGAGCCACTCGGGCACCCCTGATGTTTTGATATACACATACTGTGAACTCATCACCACACTCAAACTAATTTACATATCTGTAACCTCGCATGGTTATCTGTGTATATGTGCACGTCCATGCTGAGAACACTTGAGATCTCAAAGAGTACAAAGTTTCAGTTACGTAAGATGAATGCATTCTGGAGGCCTACATACAGCATAGTGACTATGGTCAATACTGTAGTGTATACTCGAAATTTCCTAAGAGGGTGGATATTAAGCGTTCCTACTGCAAGATTCCTATTCTTACAGGGCCTCATGCTGTTATATGTAGGAAGAAACTAGTTCTAAAATCAAGGCATTCGCAGCTATTTGAGACTAGTAAAATTGCAAAGCATGGCCAGTGGTTGTGGGCATAAGCTGGTGTTTGTACATTACTGAAATATAGTTTTTCCTAAATTGTCCATACCTTCAGAAAAAAATTATCATAAAAAATTAGAAACTACGCTTAATTTTAAAAATCAATAAACCTATCTTAGGATAATGGTGTTACATTTTGAGGAACATTCTTTCTCTATTTTCTAGACTTTTATACACAAATGCATGTTACTTATAAAATGAAATGAATCTATTAATACTGTCCTTTATCTTACTTTTCCCACTTATTAATATATTAGAAATATATTTCCATGTTAGTGAATATAGAGCTACTTTGTCATGATTAATCCTCCCAGTGTCCTTTCAAAGGAGATGATGAATTAATCAACCGAAACTCTATGGCTTAATACTTGTATTTTCCCCCCATTTTGGGGGGGGCTATGAAAAACCATACTAAAATCCTCAGTTTACAGACATGTTGCAATTTTGTCTGATATTTCTTTCGGAAAACTCTTAGATTTAGAATTCTTGGCTCAAAGAGTTTGTTTTTGCTCTTAAAGCTATGGACAGATATACATTGCCAAATTCCCTTTTACTCTTTTCCCTTATTGTGTGAGCATTCCCCAATATCCGCCAACACTGAGAATTGTTAGTGTTTCCAATTTTTACCAATCTGATAAATGGACAACAGTGTCGCTTGGTTACTATTGACATCAAACTGGTTTTTTTTTCATGTGTTTATAGGTCGATGGTATTTAGAAAAATTTTGTGAATAATCTATTGATGTCCCTTGCCCATTTTCCACTGGGAGATTTACTTTCCTCTTTTTTATTTGCCAAATATTTTTACACATTAATCTTTTGTCCTATGGGTTAAAATATCCCCCCACTCACCATTTATCCATCCCTTTTAACTTCATTAAGGTCCTGTTTTCTGTACAAAAGTTTTGTTTGTTTGTTTGTTTGTTTACTTTTTAGTCTAGGTTATTTTTTCATGTATTTCATTTATTTTCTATTTGAAATATATTCTTGAAATTTTTAATGAAAAAGTTTTGCCTTCAATGTTTACAAAGTCAAATCTAGCTGTCGTCTCCTGTCAGATTCCTTTTGTGAGCATTTATGCTCTGGCTTGTGGTTTTCCTCTGTTCTGCAGCTGGGATGCTGGGACAATATAATGTTGGTAACTGCAAAGGTGATATTCCTCACCCCAAAATGAAGGGTCAACAGAGGCACTACTTTATAGCAGCTGAAAAAGTCCTTTGGGATTATGCTCCTCAAGGCTATAACAAATTCAGTGGTCTTCCCCTAAATGCTTCTGGCAGGTAAGTACTCTTTGCCGGCTGTTCTAAGCTTCTCCTAAGAGAGAACCCTGTTAGATCTTTACCTGGGACCTCACTGGTATCCCCAGCCCTTCTCCATAGATGACATAACGACACCACTTAAAGGGTTCTGAGCCCCATAATGTACATATGGCTGAGAATTGGTGGAGTATTTATTGTGTCATGATTGGCTGGTTATATCAAAGCACTACATTCATTCATTCATTCATGAAATGTTTCTTGAGCACCTACTGGGTGTAAATTGCAATGCTAAGTGCCACGAGAAATACTAAGCTTCCAGAGAATAGAATAAGGCCTTTGCACATGTGGAGATGACTGTTTTGAAGAGAGAATAAGACAGGGGTCTCTTTCAGTGGAGGTGAACTGGCCAAGGAAAGTTACCCTTTGTGGTTCAAGGACAGCCTGCTAAGTTATGCCCCCTCTACCCAGAGTGTCCTTTTCCTACCTATCCAGCAAAATGTTATTCTTCCTTCAAAATCTAATCCTAATGTTACCTCTTAAGTGATGCTGCCCCTGACTCCCAAGTCGTTAATCATTTTCTCTCTCATAGCATGTAGTATGTTTCAAATTAAATCTAACAATCCATTAAGTAAGTGGATGTGGACCCCTGTGAGTTGTTATTATAGAATCCTGTGCAATGATGTCTGTGAAATCATTTAATTTTTTTAATTTATTTTTATTTTTTTATTTTTTTATTTTTTAAAGATTTTATTTATTTATTTGACAGAGAGAGAGAAAGAGAGAGAGATCACAAGTAGGCAGAGAGGCAGGGGGAAGCAGGCTCCCCGCTGAGCAGAGAGCTTGATGTGGGGCTTGATCCCAGGACCCTCAGATCATGACCTGAGCCGAAGGCAGTGGCTTAACCTACTGAGCCACCCAGGTGCCCCTGTGAAATCATTTTAAAATGTGCAGTATGATACCAAGAATGATCGTTATTACCCTATGATCCCTTTTGTGTTTGAGGGAATGTTTTAAAAATTTTCTTTGTGATGGATAAGATACCCTTCATTCATTTCATCATAAATTGATTAATTGTTTGATTGATTGATGCCCTTGAACCTAACTTAAAGAATCCATATGAACCATATATGAGCCTGTTTGATATCGACACTCTAGATTGACTAGTATTTCTCTATAAACAGAATAATGAGATTGGCATTGGGAATTTTGTCTTAGAAGCCTTCCAGAATTCTGAAGCACCTTATAAAAATGAAATATTAGGGGTGCCTGAGTGGCTCAGTCATTAAGCGTCTGACTTCAGCTCAGGTCGTGATCCCAGAGTCCTGGAATAGAGCCCTGCATCGGACTCCCTGCTCAGTGCGAAGCCTTCTTCTCCCTCTTTCACTCCCCCTGCTTGTGTTCCCCTCTCTCACTATCTCTCTCTCTGTGTCAAAAAGAAAAAGGAAATATTAAAGCATATTTAACTGATAATTAATGTGATATATGAAAGCACAAAATAAAAATTAACATGAGGGTTGCAGAGAGGTGTAAGGCAGTCTTCCCGCCCTCGGATCAGAAAGAGGCTGTATGCACAGAGAAAAATAACTTGGTAAGTTACAAATAAGATCAAGATGAGTTGTCCAGACAAGTGAGTTCTCTGGGTGTTCAGAGAGAGCTAAGATAGCCAAAGAACACTTCACAGAGGAAATGGGACTTGAGCAAAATCTTGAAGAATAGTGGAGTTTATATAAGTGAATCATCAGGAGGGAAATTTTAGATGCAGGGGTCAGTGAGATCAAAATGACTGGATGGGGAATTTGCACAGGGGAGTGGAGGTTTGCCTAGAGCCATAGGGAGAGGATTGGGTAAACTGGATCTCAACCCCAGAGGTCCTATAATCCTTTTGAACTTTATCTGATTGAAGGATGTAAGTAGGTGAAGATGTTGGAGCAGGAAATGGCAGTGAAAATTACCATCTTGGAGGTTAATGTTGTAGTAGTGCGTATGCTGAAGGGAGAACCTGGAACAAGCTGAGGCAAGAGGGAGGGCATAGAGTGTGTAGCTGGAGCTTCGTAAAATGTTGCAAACACAAGGTGAAGGGGGCAGGTATGGGGGTTGTTGCAGTGGGGAGAAAGGCAAGGAAAAGAGGCAAAAAGGGTACAGAGAAGGAAGGATGAACAAGATAGGGAGAAAAGGCAGAGAAAGAAGACAAAGTCAGACTGTGTGGCTGCAAGAGTGGTCGTACCATCAGCAAAACTAAGGCCTCAAGAGACAGTGCTAGTCCGGATTCACACCACTGTAGTTCACAACTTGGGAATTTGGTATGTCATGTATATAGTTTATATGATGACTCTCCATTGGCTAAACTATTTGGTTAACTAGACACTCCATACCTTAATCATGCCAGATATGAAAGAGCTTACTAAAAGCAGAGAATATTCATATTGACATCAGCAAGAGAGAGAGGTATACTTACTCTGGAAAGAAACTGGTTAGCTCTTTACTTTGTAGAATGCCATTCTGGGACTCCAGTGCCAGTAAGTATGGAGTTCACCTGTGTTTTCTTCAGTCACTGGACCTCTGGGGAAGAAAGTATGGTGGCTAAGAGAGGAATGAGCTTGTCCACCATCCAGCCCTCTGGAGACTTTCAAAGCTGCCTGACTATTCCTGGGAACTTGGTTGAAGACTGGGCCATCTTTCCCGGGGAGATGGGTGGGTGAATGAGCTAAGATAATGAAAGGAAGCTCCATGATTAAGGCATCTGGTGGATATGTAGAGATGTGGTCTCAGTCAGGTTCCTATTCTTTACACAGTGACTCCGAGCTCTACTTCACACAAGGGGACAACAGAATTGGAGGAAAATATTGGAAGGCTCAGTATATGGAGTATGTTGATGCCACTTTTACTCGAAGAAAGAGACTCTCTGAGGCAGAAGCCCATCTTGGAATTCTTGGTAGAATAAAACCATCTGTCATGTTTTGAATGGGGGGAGAGGTCTAGTGGGGCATATATGTACATGGAATGAATCTTCTTCTCCTGCCTATATTCACTTCCCTCTGCCCCTTTTCATCCTCTTCTTCCTCCTCCTCTTGATATCTTTCAGGCCCTGTCATCCGGGCAGAGGTGGGTGATACCCTGCTAGTGACCTTTGCCAACAAAGCCGACAAAGTCTACAGTATTTTGCCCCATGGCGTGATCTATGACAAGGCCTCTGATGCAGCCCCAAACATAGATGGTGAGTCTCAGCCTGACCTCGTGGAGGAAAGAGGATGAAGGAACAGAGGACTTAGAACTGGGTAGATTTGGTTCAAATGCTTTTCTTACCAGCCCTGAGAGCTTTTGTGAGCTTGTGCCTTACTCTTTCCTTACTAACGCAGCTGGTGACACTTACCTCACAGGGCTTCGAAAGGAGCTCGAGAGAATTCAGGGCGGGGTCTACTCCACAATAGGCACTTAGGAAATGTTCATTTCTTTCCTTTTCCCACAGTAATGTAATAAGCCTCAAAGTGAGCTACATTCACAGTCACCCCCACTTCCCTAAGATGGAAAGTTTTTCAGCCACAGGTTACACGGGATTCTGTGGGTGACAGCTGAGGGTAAAATCTGATTTCTAGGGTTTGGTTGACATCAAAATCCTACACATGGTCTTCACTCTGTCTCTGTTGACAAATATTTATCTATAATCAGTCTTATGTGCTTACCATCATATTCAGCCCTCCCCATCACAGGGGAGGTAGCTCATCACAGAGTAGGTAGCAGAGACTCCCTACATGTAAGAAAAGGAGCTTCTGCCCAGTGGCCACAGGAACTAGGCTTCCACTCATGATACTGCTCTTGGGAACCTCCTAGTCTCCTGGGAAGTCTTCCCCATCCCTGCAACAGACATCACAAATGTCTGGGATACTTCATGCCCAAGGATGGGGCTAGGCCCAGTTCAGAGCAGGCTTTGAGGTGATGGTAAGAGAAGAGAAAAGGGAGGACTGGAGGGAGAATTCCCCCTCCCCAGACCCATCATCATTCCCTGCTTCTGCAGCAACCTCTCTCCTACCTGTACTTTCTCCTTGGTCAGAGTGCTCATAGTCACTGTGTGTGTGTGTGTGTGTGTGTGTGTGTGTGTGTGTGTAGGAAGATCACCAGTAATAGCCCAGATGTCTATATTTTTTATCATTTACCTTAGCAAATTTATTGGGTACCATTTTGCAAAGCTCTGGAGAAGGTGCAGAGAGTTTTTGGCCTCAGCATGGCTGGAGAGACTCAACGTATTCATTTGGCACTCCAATGTGTGGGTTGAGTGCCAAGTCTTTAGAATCAGACAGCCCTGAGTTTGAATCCCAGACCTGCCAATTACCAACTTTGTCACCCTGTGTCTTCCCTTACCTCCTCTATCTCATGGTTATTTGGCTTATTTCCCAGTTCAACCTAGATTTCAAACTGTTTAAGGATAGGGCTCTTGCTTAACTTTTTGGGGTACCCTCAGCAGTGCTGAGTACAATGTATTCCACATACGAAGACACTCAATGAGAGTTTGTGGATTTACATTTAATTGGTAGAGAGGCAATTATCACTCTTCATATTTGCTAACTCTAGTATTTGGGTAAGAAAGAGTATCTTGCAGAGACACTAAATGTAATCTTGGAAGAAGATAACCCTTGGATATAAGCTTCTTCTATCTCATAACAGCAGACTGTGGCAGTGAGCTCCCTGGTAAGATACACAACTGGAAACAACTGCCCTTCTACAAAATACATCAGAGAGAGACCCCAGGGCTGGAAGACCCAGTCTGACAAATTTAATGTTCTTGGCTCTTTTTTTGAGAGTAACTTTCATCTTTCATCTGCTCAGGATTTCTGAAGCCAGGGGCTCATGTGAATCCAGGTGAAACCTTCACATACAAGTGGATGGTGCCTGAGAGCGTAAGCCCAACAGCAGGTGATCCCCCCTGTCTGACCTATCTTTACTTCTCAGCGGTGGAGCCTATCCAGGACACCAGTGCTGGCCTTTTGGGGCCATTGCTAGTCTGTAAGAAGGGTGCTCTCAATGCCGATGGGACACAGGTAGGCCATCAAAGGTCACTAAATTCTCCTCAGTGTTGTATGTGGGAGAGGGCAGTAATATGGCTAGGGATTAGAGGATAATAAGGTGTCAGGAATGAAAAAAAAAATTTTGATTTTTCCTCCTCCTTCTTTGATTTTCCTCCTCCTCCTGACTTAAAATACAGAATGAGTATTTTATTTTTTGTAAATTTAAGATCTGAATTTAAATTTAAGGTAAGTTTAAGGTCTGAAAGTTACAAATGCCCACCCAGAAACCCAGGATTTCTGTTTGTCGTGGCTGGAATTTGGTGGGTCCCTGTCCCTGTGAATTGCTTTAATTCTAGAATCTTCAGAGATCTACGTGGACTGTGAATTGGGACCCTTTCTTCTTGGACAAGGTTTCTCAAACTTGGCCACATGTTAGAATCACAAAGGGACCTTTTAAACATCTTTCATTCCAGTGCTCCAAACTGATTAAACCAGAATTTCCAGGTGCTTTTCAGTGTGTAGCCAGGGTTGAGAACCACTGTAACTCACCACTGTAAGCTGCAAGTGAATCACTAGAGTCAAGGGTACAAAAAAGCATGTAGATAATTTCTTGAAAGTCCCAACTTGGAGGCATTGCTGGTTGCATTGACTAGTGTGGCAAAGCATAGTATTTCAAGCTATGACTACATGATATTAAACACATTGATGAAAGGAGGAAAATCTAATCATATAACCATTTCGATTTATTTCACTAATCAGAAATAGCAAGATTATTTATTTACATGGTATATTTTATAATGTTTGGCATTATAAGCACCCACTTTTAGGCTCCAGGCGATTTCTAGGTAGAGGACACAAAGTGTCTTGGTCCACCTCAGATTTTCATTTCCCTGCACAAAGTGCCAATTGTGGAAATATCTATTAGAGGCTCAATGTGTCACTGGCCCTCCAGGTGGGCCCTCAATAATGCATGTGTAATAAGATTGAACAGTTACACTGTACCCCAAGGTTACATAAGGCAAAGCAGAATGACCATCCCTATTTTAAAGTTAAAGAAACTGAAGCCCAAAGACATTGAGTGATATCCCAAGTAGTAAGTAGTGAAACTCAACGGTAACAGAGGGCTTTGGATTTCCAACTTTGTTTATTTTCCCAATACAATACCCTTCTTCATATAGCTAAATACTGAAGCCCAGGAAATTGAGTGCCAGAAAACTTCTGTGAGGTAGTTCCGATTTTGTCCCTATTGCATCCATTTGATGGTATTTTGGATGCTTGCTAGAAGCACCTCGTAGCATGTGAAGGTTGTTGCCTGAGTCAAACACCACTCATGGTCAGTAAATTTACATGAAGAAAAATTAATAGCAACCTGAAATACCCCACACCTGGGACTTGGTTGAGAGAGAAATCCATTTGGCCAAAGTTTTTTTCAATACGAAAAGTACTTATGAAACACATGCTAAAGCAGGTCTTCAATAGGTCAAAGCTTAGGTCTCTTCTCATTAGGCAGATCGAGAACACAAAAAAGAGGTATTTGTATCTCTTTCCAGGAAATTCTCCCAGGGGTGAATGGGTGTCACAGAATCTAACCAGGTGCTAATAGAGCCCTTCTCTAACACCCATGCCTTCTACAATGGCCATTTAATCAGATTCCCTACTTCGACTCTCTTACTCTCCAGCCATCTATGCCTATCTTATTTTGAATAGTTTTTATTTTGAATAATTTCAGACTTATGCAAAAGTTGCAAAAAAAAAAAAACCCAAGAATTCCCATATATCCCTCACCCAGATTCCCCAAATATAAACATTTTGCCTCATTTGCTTTATTAGCTTTCTCTTCATTTTTAGTTGTTTTTTTTTTTCCCCCTGACCTCTTTGAGTTAGGTAATTGACATGTCTCATCAGCATGTTTCCAAAAAGCAAGGTCATTCTCTGACGTAAATAAACATAATTATCCAGGTCAGGAAATTAGTCTAGATACAGTACTATTACCAAATCTGAGCACCCTTGAAAATTTTGCTGTCTTCCCAATGTCATTCAAAACAAAAGAAAACTATGTTTTGCCTCATCCAAGCTCTCACCTAGATCATGTATCATCCCCTCTTCATGCCCGTTTCTCCTGTGATCTGTTTCTTCACAGGGAAGCAAGTGTGACTTTTCTAAAATGCAAATAATATCAAGTCATATCCATGTTAAACACCCTCCACTAACATAACACACACACACACACACACACACACACCCTCCTCTAGTGACTTCCTATCACACTTAGAATAAAAATCTATATTCCTTAGCCTAGACCTATGTGCCCAACCTCTGACCCTTTCTTTGATATATCTCCCTCACTCCCTCATGCCTATTTCTTCTCCACCCATATAAACCTTTCTGTTCCTTGAACAGGCCAGTCTTATCCTTGGCTTAGTGCCTCTTTCTTAGGCTCCCTCTGCATGGAATGCCTTCCCCTGACCTTTGCATAGCTGGCTCTTTGTGTCACCTCCTGAGAAAAGCCTTCCCTGAAACCCAGGCTAAAGTCATACTCTATCACATCCCCTGACTGTCATAGGACATTTTCTTTTTTTATTTTTTATGTGTCTAGTATGTTTCGTCTAATGAGAATACAAGTAGCAGGGAGCAGGAAAGTTGTCTGCCTTATATTCATTCCTCAGAACAATGTCTGATGTACTGTTGACACTCAACTGATATTTATGGTTGAATAAATGAAATACAAGATAAGTACTCCATCTTCAAATTCATATTAAGAAGTTTAGGTAGCAGAAAAAGCCATGTTACACACACTCAAACATTAAACTTGTGGCCTGCAAGTAGACACTAAAAATTCCAGGACAACCTTATTTGCAAAACTCACTTCCCATATCCACATTTCAACACTCAAAGTTGTATGATGGATCATGATTCAGACCTCCCAGTTTCCCTGCTGCTCTGGGATCCTAAATCGTACTGTTGTAAGTACTCTTCACAAAAGATCTTTGTGCTGTGGACACTCGTCATCACTCAGATGCATTCCATGCACAGGTGGTGGGGTGGATTAATCCAAGTTCTCCAGAGAAACAGAACCATAAGGACGTATATGTAAACAGAAACAGACATATTATAAGGAACTGACTCACATGATTATGGAGGCTGAGAAGTTTCACGATCTGCAGAGAGAATCAGCAAGCAAGAAACCCAGGAGACACAAAAGTCCAGCAGGGTTAAGACCCAGGAAGAACCTATGTTTGAGGTTGAGTCTGAAGGCAGAAAAAAGTCAATGTTTCACTTCAAAGGCAGGGGGAATTCCCTTTTACCTGTGGGAGGGTTAGACTTTTTGTTCTATTGAGTCCTTCAACTGATTGGATATGGCCCACCCACACTGGGGAGAGCAATCTGCTTTACTCCATCCAACAAATTCAAAAGTTAATCTCATCCAAAAACATCTTCATAGAAACACCCAGAGTAACGTTTGACCTAATATTTGGGCGTTGCAGCTCAGTCAAGTTGACACATAAAATTAACTATCACACAGGGTCCTATCACCTACTTTCTAACCTTTTCCTGGATTTATTTCCCACCCTCACAGACCCAGGTACTTTCCAAATGACTTGCAGGTGATGAAGTTCTTCAACTCAACACTTTTCAGTGGTTTCTTCTTGTTTTATGGACAGTTGCAATCACAGATAATAATCACACTTAATGTTGAGCACTTAGGATTTGCCAGATGCTGTGTTGAGTACTTTACCTATATTATCTAATTTAACTTTCACCAAAAAAAGGGAAGTGGTGACTACTTTTATCCTCCTTTTGCAAATGAGGGATTGAGGACTTAGGGTAAATCACTTGCCCCAGTTTCCACAGTGGATGAGCAGAATGACATTAGAACCCCACACTCTCTTTTTTTAAATTAACATATAATGTATTATTTGCCCTAAGGGTACAGGTCTGTGAATCATCAGGCTTCCACGTTTCACAGCACTCACTATAGCACATACCCTCCCCAGTGTCCATAACCCAGCCATCTTATCCCTAACCCCCTACCCCCCAGGAACCCTCAGTTTATTTTGTGAGATTAAGAGTCTTTTATGGTTTGTCTAGAACCCCATACTGTTTTAAAAATATATTTGACCTGGGGCACCTGGGTGACTCAGTGGATGAAGCCTCTGCGTTTGGCTCAGGTCATGATCTCAGGGTCCTGGGATTGAGCCTTGGATCGGGCTCTCTGCTCAGCAGGGAGCCTACTTCCCCCTCTCTCTGCTTCTCTCTCTGCCTACTTGTGATCTTTGTCTATCAAAAAATGTGTGTGTATATATATACATATGTATGTATATATATGTGTGTATATATGTGTACATATACACACACATTTTTTAAAAAGATTTTTATTTTTATTTTTATCTTATTTTTAAATTTAAAAAGATATATTTTAAAAAGATATATGTTTATATACATATATATATTATATATATATATATACATATAACCTCTTAGTTCTCTCTAATTTTTTACATTTTACTTTTAAAAATTTCAAGTCTACATTATTCCTTTTCATAGCTCATGATCTAAAATTACTGCCTTCTAAAACAGCACAGGATAAAAGCAGTAAGTGAATATAAGGGATGGTGCAAGAATAAAGCAAAGGCTACCCATATCTTTGATAATACATTAGGAAAGCATCACAGAAGTGGGACAGCCAAACTGGCCTTTAAGGTTGACTTAGGGTGGCAGAGGTTCAAGCTAAAGGGATGCATGCATGAAAGACAGAGGTCTGCAGAAACAGCAAGTTCAGATTGCTTCAAAGAGTTTGGCCTCATTTTGGTTCAAACTGCCAGGAGGTATGGGCCAAGAGATGAGCCTGAGCAGGAAGGCAAGGACCAGATCACTCCAAGTTTAGACTGTATTGTCCAGTTTCAGTAGGCAAGAGATGTGATCAGTGGCATTTCTGGGGATCCCTCCAGAGTAGGCAGCAGGGTAAAGGGTGGGTTGGAGGAGAACACATTAGAGATAGGAAGATGGTTGAAGGAAAGAAAATATAGTCACCTCTCTGGTTCAGCTTTAAATAAAAGCATATTTCAACAATGCAAGATGCTACATGCTCAAACACAGTGATTAAGAATATACACAGTAGGAAGTAATCCATGGTCCCCTCAATTTCAACTTATGTTAACATAATTTAGCAAAGTCTCATGGGTTATGTGAATTCATTATTTCACTCAAAAACATGTAGAGTACCTTCTTTTCCAGGCACTTTTTTTTCTTAAACTGGGAACATAGAGAGGAACCCAAAATGTCCCTACCCTCACAAAGCCACAATGCAGTGGGACAATGATCATAAACATAAATTCATAAACAAAATATTATTGTGGAGACAAGTGCTATGAAGAAGAGTAGAGTGGGGGTGAATGGTGAGTTTGCAGGCAGGGTGGAAGCCAGGTGACTCTTTTACACAGGGTATTCAGGGAAGGGTACTCAAGGAGGTGAGATTTGTGCAGAGAATGGAATTGAGTAAGGGAGTGAGCCAGGCAAGCCTGGGGAGAAACTTCTAGGCAATGGGAACAGCGCATGAAAAGTTGCTGAGGCAGGAGTGAAGCTGGATGGTCACAGAAGAACAAAAGATCAGGGTAGCTGGAGTCAGCAAGGGATGGGGACAAGAAGACAGCTGCAGAGAGGTGTAGGCATGGAAAATAAAAGGGTGACGACCAGCCTGAAAACAGGAGTCCCACAGTCTAGAAAAGCTTCTGAATAAGGACTTATTTCTTCTTAGCAAGTCTAATGGGGAGGGAGAAGGATGTAATGAAGAAGATGAAATTTTAGGGTATAAAATGAATTTATCAGAATCACGCTCGGAATCCCGATTTGCAAAATGAGCCAAAAAAAATCTATGGCTGATGTCGGTCCTCATTTACTTGATGTTAACTTTAAAAGTGAAATAGAACAATTTCCTCCAAGCTCTACTCTTTACACATTCATCTCTTTCTTCTCTGTAGAAGGGAATAGACAAGGAATTTTACCTCCTCTTCACAGTCTTTGATGAGAACTTGAGCAGGTATCTTGACGAGAACATTCAGAGGTTCACATGGCGCCCCTTCAGTGTTGACAAAGAAGACAAGGATTTTGTGAGCTCCAACCGGATGCATGGTACGAACAATGACTTTCCCTTCTATAAGGGAAGGGATAATTGCATTTGAAGTGAAAATGTTTTGAGTGTTTTAAATGATCCTAATTTTGGTTTCTTGGATATTGTTCTCAGTCATGAGTCAGTTATTTCCTGACTTCATCTCAGAAGGTATGGTGAAACCTCCCTATCTCCCAGCAATATTGTGAAACTTAATTAATACTTCCGAAATACTTCATCAGCTTGAGATGAAGCCACAGAGAACATGAACTAGTGAAGATCACAGTACATTATAAAAGTACAAAATTACTGACAAAATGCCCTCCCTTGGGTTTGTAATCACATCGTTAAGTCTGATAATCCAAGTGATCATTAGCAATAAACATTCAACAGTAAAGCATTTCTTATCAAGTACATGAAGGCCTGTCCAAAGTGCTAATTTGTAAAACACTACCCATTCCTATCCCAGATCTTATTTAGAAGGAATTGCTTAATTCCCCTTCTCTGTGTCTCTTATATCAGTTGTAAGAGTGGCAAGCCACCTTGTAATTGCTGTGAATTACACAGGATTCTCATTAGTCTTGGGCACATTACCTAAGGTGATAGAATAATGAGCAAGAGTCCAAACTTAAACAACTACTAGAGGGCGTGCTCAACAAAGGGGACTGAAGCAAGTACTCTAAGAGAACAGGTGCCAAATTGCTCATTTTAGGACCAAGGATGACAACTATGTATTGCCTTTGAAAGATTACAGGAGAATAACAAAATAGTCCCTAATCTCCCTTCCCCACAAGGAAGTCCAAAAAGTCCAAGGTTCCAAGTGACCCACAGCAGGCAGCTCACAGACTCCTATGGTCCTGGGTGCTCCATGCCAACAGTCTCTTCTTGGGCCAATGAAAAGCACTGAGTAACTCACTTTCAATACCATCGTCTATAAAATTGTTGTTATACCTGAATAATGAAATTTACTTCCAACCTTCCTAGTAACCAAAAAAAAAGGGGGGGTGGAATAAAGTGGAAATGAGGAAACATAGCAATTCCTTCATAGAAAAACTAAGTTGCAAAAGAAATTTATTGTAAGACAGGCCTGTAAAGAGAAAGAATTAAGCCCCAGTGGACTGTGTCACATCCAGCCCTGCCCTGGTTTGACAATGTGAAATACACTCTCATATATTGGATGTGTAGAATATGCCACCTTGAAAGTGCAAAGAAAGCAATGTATTTTAATTTAAATTTTACATTAATTATAAATTGAATTCTAGCCCCAGGCTTACTTGCATGGAGTAGAAGGAAGAATGATGGCAACAGTACGGAAGAGAAAGTACCTCACATAGTAGATGGTACTTTGCATTACACCTGTTATATAGTCGATATTCAAAGGTGTTTGTTGACCTCCTTCCCTCAAGATCATCCTCAGTGACTTGTGAGCTGTCCTTGGGGGTCTTTTATGACAAAAGAAAGGGCCATGCCTCCAGTAGTTCTTGGGTTAGTCAACAAATATCGACTGGGTTAGGCAACAAGGCTACACAAGAAGACAGAACAGTGTAACTTCTTTACCAGACCTCCTCATGGGCTTTGGCTACCTTTAACTGAGACTATAACCAGCAATGACATCATTCTTTCAGGAAGTGTTTAGAGTACTAGAAAAAAAAAAAAACAAAAAACAAAATAGAAAACAAAAGTATTTGTTGAAATACAAATACAGAAAGAGAGGATTTAAACTAGAATTCCGAGGTAAGAGAAGATTCTCTACCAGCCAGCCAAGGATGAAATTATTAGCACCCCAAATTACAAAAATCTCTTTAACATTCAATGGAAAAAATTAACATAATTTATTTGCAAATCATTACCGAAGATTTTTTTTTTTCTTCAGAAAAGGCAATGTTCTTCTCAGAAGCCTCCAGGCTTCTTAGACTTTCTATTAATAATCCCAGACATCTGAGTAAAATTACCAAGTATCACTGGTTCTGCAGACACAGAAATAAAAAGAGACACAGAAGTAAAAAGTAATTTTTTCTAATAATGGGACTATAAACGAAGAGCACTCATAAATGTGATAGTTGTTCTTTCCTACTATGGACATTAATAACTAGTAGGGCAGGGATAGAATCTTGATCTTTCTCAGGAACATCAAGCGTGAGACATAATTACATGTAATCTCCCCTCAAAAAGTGCTATTCAGTTAATATATTCATGCCTCACGGAGTTGGAATGTGGTTTCTAAATTCTTTTCAAGATGTTTCTCCAGGTAGTCACTATCAGTGGACTGAAGTTGATGTAAAAGAGGAAAACAATTCTCATTGTGGGAGATTCAGAAGGTCTTCATGACCTAAGTCATCATTATTCAAAGGTCCTTTATTTTACTGAGGTAGGGAAATGAAAGTATCCAAAAGGTAAAAGTATTTACTCAAAGACTGCCACTTATAATTTTTAAAAAAAATTTTTAAAGTTTTTAAAAATTTATTTGATAGAGATCACAAGTAGGCAGAGAGGCACGCAGAGAGAGAGGAAGGGAAGCAGGCTCCCCGCTGAGCAGAGAGCCCGATGTGGGGCTCGATCCCAAAACCCTGGGATCATGACCTGAGCCAAAGGCAGAGGCTTTAACCCACTGAGCCACCCAGGTGCCCTGAGACTGGCCTCTTATAACTCAGCTCCCACTCCCCTGCAAAAAAAAAATCTCTCTCTTCTGACCAGACATGCAAGGTCAATAACAATCAATTGTGAGTTTTTCCAATGGCGCAAGATCCAATAAATCAGTAAAGGGATGTCTGGCAACTCTTGGAATCAAATGCAAATCTGTTGGCAGATGAAATGAAAAACAAAATGAAATGAATTAGCAAGGTGAGAAAGGGACATTTGAAGGAGATAATAGGAGAAGAACCTCAAAAGAAAATGATTTTCATAGCAAGAGTTCTAGAGCAGGCTTTAGGGAAATTGATGAAGTTCATAAATATATTTACAAGGACGATGCTTTTCATAAACTGCCAAATGAAAATGCAAATTGCGGGATATCATATTACACTATCAAACAATTTGTCAGAAAAAAATTATGCCAGAGAAAACCTGATTTATTTTTTATTGATTCTTAGGACTTGTGCCCTTGTGTATATATGGTTAAATACACTATTTTCACAATTTTCGTATATTTTCATTCTTCATTGTTCAGTTTAGTCTCCAATTTGCATTGATTCCCTGTGTGACTTTTCTCTAGTCTTACCTACTCTTTGGTAGTAAGGATCTTCTGTAAATAGTTTAAACTTGAGCACGGGAACAGACTGCACCCCCCCACTAATAATCCTCAACTAGAATGGCGTGTTTTCTGTACCTACAAGATCATCGTGGGCTCTGACTATGTTTTCCTTTCATTTAGCTATTAATGGCTTTATGTTTGGCAACCAACCGGGCCTAACCATGTGCAAAAAAGATAGAGTTTCCTGGCATATGATTGGAATGGGCACCGACACGGATATGCATGGAGTTTATTTTCAAGGGAACACCATCCACATACGAGGGACTCACCGCGACACCCTAGCCCTGTTTCCCCATACCTCCACTACGGTTTTCATGCAGCCGGATCATGCAGGTAAACTTGGCAGGATCGTCTTCAGTGACCAAATTCCTATCTTCAGTCACACACTCTAGAAGAAATTGGCTGAATTTGGGCACTTCAAGGCAAACAGCCTTGGTTACAGTTGGACAATCCTAACTATTTTATTCCAAACACACAGTATAAAGAATAGAGGAGATGTATCTAGAATGACACAAAGCAGAAGTCAAGTCCTCCAAACAACCTTGCCACACAAATCCCAGGAGAGTGCTCTTGATTCATTCCCAGGAATAATTTGGCCCCAAGAAAAGGGGTATTTCTTGTTCTTTAAGGCACATTTTATCTGCTGCTCTGAAGAATGTACCAGGCATGGACAGCCCCCGGATGCTTCCAAGTTATGGGTATGACCCTGGTTCCCCTTGTCTAGAGACAGATAATAGCCTTTTGATAAGTAACTTGGAGACTTCTTCATTTTCATTCTGTTGAGCACCCTTGGTTTCCCCAGAGGGGAAGGTGCATTGGGTCTGAAGTCTGTAGAGGGCCCCTTGAAGTGCTAGTACTCATACCTTCTCTTAGAGATTCCCAAACTAATTACATAATTGGGGCATTTTTATAAAAGATACAGGGCAACACATGGCAGCATATGTTACCTGTCACATGAAACATAAAGATAGCAGATGCTATGGGCACTCAAAATATTTCTCCAAGCCAACGTTTTCATTAGTTTTTAAAAGAAACTGACTCTTGATCTTGACTCCGGTCATGATCTCAGGGTTGTGAGATTGAGAACTTTTCGGGCTCCTGCTCAGTAGGGAGTCTGCTTGAGGTTCTCTCTCCCTCTCCCTCTGCCCCTCTGTGCCTCCCACAAATAAATAAATAAATCTTAAAAAAAAAAAAAAAGAAACCAATATGCTACCCAAGATGAGTACTTGCTGACTCTGTGTCCTCTATGAATTGATGTCTACTTCTTTATTTCACACTAGAAGTGCAGTTTCGATGCCCCTCAGTGTCATTGGTTAAAAACTTAGGGCTTGTGCTTCAAAACTTTTGTCCAAGAACTGCCTGAAACTAGGAGCTCCACAATCCCTCCCTTATAGACTTTGAGGATTTAACCTTTCAACATTAGCATAATTAATCAGTTATGAATCACCCAAGGCAAGGGATGGCTTGGACACAATTATTTTTTAAAATATGCTCTTCAAGATCAAAGATAGGAGAGAAGGGAAACGGTTTTAATCCATAGAAACCGACATTCAAAGCTACAGCTGGCTGGAATAATTTTAGGGACTTGGTTAATTATTCCAGTGCCTTGCATATTACACATGTGCCCTCCAAGGTTATAAAGAGCTATGACAAAGTCTTCCAGTTTAAATCTGGTAGTGAGTAGAAATCTGCAACTGCTTAATAGCTTGGTCATTTCACCGATTCCTGTCCCATATCTACAGACCAAAAATAGTGCCCAAAATATGAGTAGACCCTAGGCTGCAACTCAAATATTTTTCCTTTGTTCTTGTTTTTTAACCACTTTATTGAGATATGACTGATAAACAAAAACCTATAGGTATTTAATATATACAAATCAATGAGTGATGTTGAACATCTTTTCAGGTGCCTGCTGGCCATATATGTCTTCTTTGAAGAAATGTCTGTTCATGTCTTCTGCCCATTCTTTAATTGGATTATGTGTTTTGGGGATATTTAGTTGTATCATTTCTTTATACATTTTAGATACTAATCCTTTGTTGGATATGTCACTTGCAAATATCCTCTCCCATTCAGTCGGTTGCCTTTTAGTTTTACTGTTTTCCTTTGCTGCAGAAAACTTTTATTTTGGTTTAGTCTGGTAGTTTATTTTTGCTTTTGTTTTTCTTGCCTCAGGAGACATATCTAGAAAAATGTTGCTATGGCTGATGCAGAGAGTTACTATCGGTGCTCTCTTCAAGGATTTTTATGGGATCAGGTCTCACATGTAGGTCTTTAATGCATTCTGAGTTTATTCTGTGTATGGTGTAAGAAAGTAGTCCAGTTTCATTCTTTTGCATGTTGCTGTCTAGTTTTTGTAACATTATTTGTTGAAGAGACTGTCTTTTCTCATTGCATAGTCATTCTTACTTTCTTGAATATTGATTGACCATACGGTTGTGGGTTAATATCTGGGTTTTGTATTCTGTTCCATTGACCTCTGTGGCTATTTTTATGCTAGCACCATCCTGTTTTGATTACTACTGCTTTGTAATATAACTTGAAATCTGGAATTGAGAGACCTCCAATTTTTTTTCTTTTTCAAGATTGTTTTGGCTTTCTGAGTGTTTGTGGTTTCATATAAATTTTAGGATTGTTTGTACCAGTTCTGTGAAAAATACCATTGGTATTTTGATAAAGATTGTATTAAATCTGTAGCTTGTGTTGGGTGGTATAGACATTTTAACGGTATTTATTTTTCTAACCCATAAGCATGGAATGTCTTTCTTCCTTCTTGTGTCCTCTTGAATTTCTTTTATCAGTGTTTTATAGTTTTCAGAGTAAAAATCTTTCACCTCTTTGACTAACTTTATTCCTAGATAGTTTACTGGTTTTGGTGCATTTGTAAATGGGATTGTTTTCTTAATTTCCCTTTCTGCTGCTTTATTGTTAGTGTATAGAAATGCAACAAATTTCTGTGCAATGATTTTGTACATTACTGAATTATTTATCAGTTCACATAGTTTTTTGGTGGAGTCTTAGAGTTTGCAGATCAAAACTGCAATGAGTAATTGTACCTGTCATACCTATCAGAATGGCTAAAATAAAAAACGTAAGAAACAAGAAGTATTGTCAAAGATATGGAGAAAAAGGAACCCTCATGCGCTATTGGTGGGAATGCAAACTGGTACAGCCACTGTGGAAAACAGTATGGAGATTCCTCAAAAAATTAAAAATGAAACTGCCCTAAGATCCAGGAATCACACTACTGGGAATTAACCCCAAATACAAAACACTAATTCAAAGGGATACATTCTCCCCTATATTTATAGCAGCATTGTTTACAATAGCCAAACTATGGAAGAAGCCCAAATATGGTTAAGGAGGATGTAGTAATATATACAATAAAATATTATTCAGCCATAAAAAGAATGAAATCTTGCCATTGGCAACAACATGGACAGAGTTATAGAGAAGTGAAATAAGTCAGAGAAAGACAAATACCATATGATTTCACTCATATGTGGAATATAAGAAACGAAACAAAGGAGCAAAGGAAAAAAGGAAAGGAAAGGGGAAATAAAAAAAAGGAGAGAAGGAGACAAACCAAGAAATCAACCCTTAACTACAGAGAACAAACTGGTGGTTACCAGAGGGGATGAAAAAAAAATAAAATGATAGGAAAAAACAAACAGCTATTTATGCATCTAAAAAAAGAACAAATTGATGAGTTGGGAAGTAAGTATACATCTGTGAAGCTGTCACCATAAAGCCTTAAACTCCTCTTCGTTCTTAAAGAAGACAATTCCTTGGCTAGCGGAAAACATGATGAACAGGTGAATAATGGGCTTTCTGGCGAACACCACACCCAGTGGGAGCTCTTCCTTTTTTATTTATTTATTTGCTTGTTTATTTATTTATGTGACCTTTTTTTACTTTTTCAATGTTCCAAGATTCATTGTTTATGCACCACACACAGTGCTCCGTGCATTATGTGCCCTCCTTAATACCCACCACCAGGCTCACCCAACCCCTCACCCTTCTCCCCTCCAAAACCCTCAGTTTGTTTCTCAGAGTCCACAGTCTCTCATGGTTTTTCTCCCCCTCCGATTTCCTCCATCTCATTTCTCCTCTCCATCTCTCAGTGTCCTCTGTGTTATTCCTTATGCTTGACAAGTAAGTGAAACCATATGATAATTGACTTCCTCTGCTTGACTTATTTCACTCAGCATAATCTCTTCCAGTCCTGTCCATGTTGCTACAAAAGTTGGGTATTCATCCTTTCTGATGGAGGCATAATACTCCATAGTATATATGGACCACATCTTCCTTATCCATTCGTCTGTTGAAGAGCATTTTGACTCTTTCCCCTCTTTCCACAGTTTGGCAATTGTGGACATTGCTGCTAAATGGGAGCTCTTCCAATGTCTGCCCTCAGAGCGTCTTCTGGTTTCACAAAGACCCTTCCTCATGAGGGTCCTGCTTAGTGCTGAGGGGGCTAGAGCACCCACTGAAACAATGGGTTCTTCTCATTCTCAAGGGGTAATCTGAAATACTTTGATATGTACAGCATGATCAAAGCTATCACTGTGCGTTGGATATGGGTAATGAGACTAATCACTGATCCCTTGCCTCTAAGAACAGAGTCTCTATGAAAGGAAAGGAAGAATTATTGATCCAATAACTCCACTGACAGTTAATAGCTTCCAATAATTTTGTTTTATATAATTTTATGGTGGGTTCCATTAAGATATATCTACCTGATGCCAATCTAGAAAATTGCACCATTTTATAAAATTACGTAATTCTCAGACATGATTGCTGGCATTATGTAGGGAAATCTAGTTGATTTTCTTTTTTTCACACTTGGCATAATGTTGACCTACCACGGTAATGAAAGCCTCCTTTGTTCAAAGGATTAATGAATAATAATAATAGCAATAATAATAATTTAATAGTAATATTTTACATGTGTATTTTACTGTATATAGTTTATGAAATCCTTTAGGGCAAAATACATGATTTCAGAAATGTGCCCTAATTTAATTTAGAATATTAATCTTACAGGTAATTAGTTCATTTTAAACTGGGCTGGGCTAAGATAATCATACCTATTGGTGACTTTCCAGGAGCAACTCTCTTCTAACAGGTGTGTACAGTAGGGAAGACCCAGAGAAATTATTTCTTGGTAGCAACTTTGCAAGTTTTCATTTTCCAATTCCAGATGAATTTCAGATGGTATTTCCCACCCCACCCCCCCGGTAAGTAAATATATTCACAGTGATTTATTCCCCTTGGAGTCTGGCTGGAAAATACAATATAAAATTGGTATTTTAAAGATCCGTCTTACAAGTTATTTTCTTGGGGAAGGGAATGCTGTAGATTGCTAGCAGACCAAAGCCACAACTGGAACAGTCGAGTTCCCTGCACAACGCCAAGCCGTTTCTGTTTCAGGTATTTTCAGGCTATTTTGTTCCACCATGCACCACTTTGTGAGAGGCATGAATCAGATCTATGAGGTCAACAGCTGTGGCAACAAGGACCCTTCAGAGCAGCCATACGGGATGATAAGAACCTTTTACATCGCCGCTGAAGAGGTAGAATGGGATTATGCCCCTAACAAAAACTGGGAGTTCGAAAAGCAGCACTTGGACGCAGGAGGGGAAAGGTACCACAGGCAAAGCCGCCAAGTCTCTTGGGTGGGGTTGCACATGCTCCGTAGATGTTTCTCAAGTGGGGACACCTAACATTGCCCTGGTTTTGTCTGCACAACTCTGGTGGACAGAGACTGTTATTGTGAGCACAAAACAGGAGGCAAGCTGCCGGTCTGCCTCCCGGGAGGGGCGTCTGAAGTCATTTGGGGGTATACCCCGCAGCTCAGGGCATCCCCTGCTCGCGGTGGCTGGTTGCAAGTGTGGCTGTCCCAAGCATGTGTGTGCCTTTGAATGAGCGCCAAGCTTGAGAGGGTTGGGGAAAGAGGCAGATCCCAGTGACTGTGAAGGGGGACTGTGAAGACAAAATGGTACAGAAGGAGGCAGAGGCAAGGTGAACAGATGGGTGGATTTAGGACCGCAGGGAAAGAGCCTTCATAGGATGGGGAACAGCCTAGGAGCAGGTAGGAGGCATTGCCTTGGCAGAGATCCCCAAATTAAGATGAGCAGGCTATACCCAGAGAGTTCCCAAGACTGACCCTCCCGGGACAGTACTGTCAACCAGCGCTAAGCACCAAAGGGTCCACAGGGCTGGAGCATGGCGTGGGCGTGTGAGCTCTGGTCCCCTGCACACACTTCCCCTGTGTGCACTGGGGTAGAGTACAGGGTATAGAGGCATCTGCCAGCTTGGATCTGTAGACCTCCTCCCCCAAGTTCATACGCTCCCCTCAGAAACACCCTGCTGCTTGGGTATTTCCTGCCCCATATACAGACCAGGAGATTCAGTGCAGAAGGTTAAGGCTAACCTCTAGTCGTGGGTCCTGGAATTGAACATAGACCTTTTTGAAGGACAGATCTGTGTTCTCACCACCAAGCCATGTTAATTTGCATGTATTTGTTCCTCTTTGTTCTGTATTATCCGCTCCCCGGTCCCCTGGCCCCACTAATTCTTTTTTGCCATGCCACACACAAATCCTCTATACCCAGCTGTTCCGATCTTAACGCGTCTTTTTTCCTGTTCTTACTTGTTGGCCTGTTTTGAGGGTATAGATTCCTGGAAAAGAAAGTCGAACAGCGTCACCTTACGGATAAATGAAGAAATGAAATGACTCTTCCCTTCTAAAAAGATTTGCCTCAGGGACAGGATGATTTAAAATTTGTTCCCATAACTCACCAACCCATTTATTAAACCAGACACTCCTGTCTTGCAAAACCAGTGTTGCCGATACCAGCTCCTGACTGATGCTGGGTCAGTGGAAAATGAAACGAGGAGTGATCCAGCCTTTTCTAAAATGATGATGTTTACTAAAAGGCTGCTAGAACTAAAGAAATAATGGCATAACAATTTTGTGGTATGTATATTCTTAGCCCATGAGAGTGTAAGAGGCATAGCCATCATGATTTTCTCGAAACTTAGGGTAATTTCAGTTTTCCGACCATCTGCTCTCTGGACTGGCAGGAGGTGGCAGCCTCAGTCTTCTGGGATTGTCTCCCAGCAGACAGAGATAGAGGGTGCTGGCTGTGTTTGCCCTCTGCCCTGCCACTCAGAATATTGCCCATAAATAAATGAAAACAAAGGAAAAATGAGAACCTGTTCACATATTCAAAGTGCAGTGGACCCATAGAGAATAACAGTACAGATGGAGATGACCGGGCCTCCTAGAGGCACATCTGAGGCACCTCTGCAGCTGGGAGCCCAGGGACAAATGCCCCTTCTGCCCTCCAACTCTTATGCCTCTGTCTTTTGAGCCAAAGCCTTGGGAGTGTGGCTTTACCTGTCCATACCTGTCAGTGTGGGTTATCCTTGAGACATTCCTTTATCCTGGTTCGCACAGACTCTCTGCCTTACCTTGGGGACCCAGATACCTTTCTCTAAGAGCTTTCTCAGAACACACTGAGAAGGCCTCAGGATCCCAGAAAAGCAGCCAGCGGGACTCATCAGCACAATGCCAGGATTTGTGCTGTGGGAGACAATTCAAAATCCGAGACAGAGTTGCTCTAGGGAAATAAAGCTGTATTCCTCGGACTCCTGAACTTGTGGACTGATAGGCATTTAATTTCATCAGCGTGAGATTTGAGACAATAACGGCCATGTATGGAGTGCCCACCATGTGCCAGGCATTTTGCTAGGGTTTTTAAAAACCCTATCTCCTAGTGACCCTCACAATGTCCTTGACCCACTTGGTCAGCCTCAGCCCAGCATCTCAGCTGACTTCCCAGCAAGACAGCAGATGAGCAAGCGCTTACATGGTGCTTGGTGTGTATCTGGTGCAGGTCTTTACAGAGTTCAACCCACAGCCTCCCAACACCTGTGCCGGGAGGCCAATGCATTGTCATCACCCCACTTTGCAGACCAGGAAAGCTGACAAACAGTAAAGCATGGCTCCAGAGGCATCTGGGTCACTACCGCAATGTTACTAGGACTCTCGGAAAATGAAAGTAGAAGAAAAATTGTCTTCCCTTGGAAAGCAGGTGGTCCAGATTGAAGATGTACATATCTTTGGTTGTTAAGCATCTACTGTATGCTAGGCATTGTACCCAGTGTTGTTAAACGGTGTTAAAAAGGACAGGTGAGTTTCCTTCCCACACAGAATTCATGGCTCATGGGGAAGACATGAGACCAAGCATACTGAGCGAGATCATCACTATGAGAGGGGAAATGCTGGGCACAGACGGAGCCCACAGCAGGTGTGCATGGCCCCATGTCGGGGAGAGCTAGGGAGAAAGCAGGTGGCCAGGGAGAGCTTCTTTGAGGAAGCAGTCTTCATCCTGGGACTTGAGAAATAGGCTAGTTGAAGAGGTGGCAACTGTGTTCTTGGCCCAGGGGAGAACACTTGGAAGGCCTAGAGGTGGGAAGCACATGTGGAGCTTGAGAGAGAATGTTCAGAATGACCAAAACAGAGTGTGTGTGGTGCCAGTGAGGGGAAAGGAGGCTTGGGAGGTTGGCAGAGGCAGATAGTGAAGGGTTGTGAGGAATTTGGGGAACTGGGCAGTGGGAGGCCAACAACAGGTTTTCCACAAAGACTCACTTGGTTGAATGCACAGGTTAGGATCACTCTGCCTATAGTGTAGAAGAGAGGGGGAAGGGAGGAGTGTGAGAGGCACGTAGAATGACCACGAACAACCCAGTTCACACAGGTAAGTGAGGTAGGTGGCTTAGGTTGGAGTGCAGGTAGTTTAAGGGAGGGAAATGGACATACCATGTTTTATAGGTAAAACTGATAGGGTTTTTTTCCTCATCGCTTGTGACCATCTATCTTGGTGGTGGATTAAACACATAGTTAACCCTCACTATTGCAGACTCCATGTTTGTGAATTTGCCTTCTTGCTGAAATTTATTTGTAATACCAAAATCAAGTTTTGAGGTGCTTTGGGGGTCATTTACAGGGATGTGTAAAGCAGCAAAGGATTTGTGTCACCCGATGTGCGCATTCCCAGCTGAGGTCAGACAAACGAGGCATCCCTCTGCCTCCTTGTTTCAACTTTCAGTGTAAACAGACATCCTCCTTGTGGTCCCTTTAGTGCTACTTTTGTGTGTATATGTGTGCTTTTTGGGTGACTTAGCTGTTTAAAATGCCCCCCCAGAGTAGCACTGCCTAGTGTTCTCAAGTATGAGAAGGCCGTGATGTGCCTTACAGAGGAAATACATGTTAGATAAGCTTCATTCAGGCACCAGTTACAGTGCTATTGGCCATGAGTTTAAAGTCAATGAATCAGCAATACATACTGAATAAGATATCTTTATTTTTTTTAAGATTTTATTTATTTATTTGATAGAGATCACAAGTAGGCAGAGAGGCAAGCAGAGAGAGAAAGGGGGAAGCAGGCTCCCTTCTGAGCAGAGAGCCCGATGCAGGACTCTATTCCAGGACCCTGAGATCATGACCTGAGCCTAAGGCAGAGGTTTTAACCCACTGAGCCACCCAGGTACCCCTGAATAAGATGTCTTTAAACAGCAACACACATAAGTTAAGGATATTTATTAATCAGCTGATGAAAACATTGTGACCAGAGGTTTGAAGAAACGGGGTTGTTTTTTTTTTTTTTTTTTTTTGGAAGGTTGGGGAGGTGGCTTTTCCTCTACCCTTCAGATTCTTCTGGCTGGTCTAAGAATTAAATTGACATGAGAAAATCAAATTTATGTACACAGGGAGAATCCACATAAACATGAGAGATTCCAAAGACAGGCAAAACTCGATATATAAAGAGAAGGGGGAAGGAGTCTGGGACTTCAAAGAAAAGGAGAGCAATTCATAAGAAGATGAAAAAGAGTAAATGTTAGGTAAACAAATGGTGGCTGGGCAACTCAGAAACAAGGAGACAGAGAGAAGAATTTTAACAAACAGACTTTGCTAAATTCCTCCCTGTCTCCCACCCCTAGTTCATATTATAATGTAGTTATAATGGGATTGGGTCCTCTACCTAAATGCCTATGGGCAGTTAGGGGGAAGATCAAAGTTTTTTCCTGGACCTTTTGGGTCTTGATTGTTTTCAGCTCAAAATAATCCACATGCCAAAATGGCATCTCTTAGGGGCATTCTTTGTGAAGACCTACAAAACCTAACCTTGGATTTCCTCTAGGAGCCATGGTTTAGTATTCATTATCTCGGTGTTTGAGGTCACTTTCTAGAACACAATTCCTGTGAATAACAGAATCAACTATGCCTACATTTGTATGTGTGTATATGCAAAATATACAGCCCAGAGTCTGGCTTGAGGTATTTAAAGTGGGAAAGTAGAACATAGTGCAGAATGATACACATGAAATCTGAAGGAATTCAGGGTGATAGAGTGTGAGTGTGCACACGTGTACAGGCATGTGCGTGTGTGTGAAGTTAGTTAGTCCCAACAAGCAACAGGCCATCTTATGGGAGTCTCTGACTAAGGTTGGCCCCGTGGAGTATCCAGCAGGGCTTTGCAACGATGGTCCCCAAGAAGTAAGACCAGGGCTAGAGCTGGCCTGCTCCTATCAAAACCCCCTGAGGTGCTTTCAAGTGCAGATCCCTGGCGCCACTTCCAGAGAGCCTGGTGCAAAAGTCCAGCTCCACAGGGAGATCCCGATGGCAGCCGGGTTTGGGAAACCCTGCTCCAGAGTACCCCTGAGTCACTCAGAAGCACTCAAGGGTTTTCTACCTCCTGGCAACTTTAATTTCTGATGTTTCTACTTTACAGACACGGAGATATATTTATGAACCACACTGAAAACTGGATTGGCTCTCAGTACAAGAAGGTGGTTTACAGAGAATACACTGACGGAGAATTTGTGGAGATCAAAGCCCGACCGCCACGAGAGAAACACCTGGAACTCCTGGGTATGGCATAGATTGCAGGCGTGCACTGCCAGCCCCAAGAGTGGCCTGAGAAGGCACAGCAGGGACAGAGCAGCCTGACTCCATTGATCCAAGTGTGACATCTTCCTGTCTTCCCATATAGTCAACCAGATGACCAGATAACACGCAAACAGCCATCTATATCACCAGGGTTGTCTAACCAACATCTGTCGCCCTCAAGTCCCTTTCTCATCCCTCTGCTAAGCCAGGACATTTTAACTTGGAATAATTTGATGCCTCAGAAGAGCAGGCAGAGTATTTGCATAATTTCTTCAAGGTCCTGGATTCTCCGTGCACAGAGCCGTAAGAACGCACCATAAAAATAATTCCACCCAAAGAGAAACCCCTTACACGAGAGGAGCGCTAAGGGTGGAAGGCCTGGTTTGAGTTCAGAAGGCTCTGAACTTGGCCTTCTCAGGAACTCCCAGGCCTGTCGGAAATCCTGGGCTGCCTGACCTGGTGATCAGATAAGCTCTTCCAGTTCTCCTTCCCTGTTTTCACCTGGGAGTCACCAAACCTGACCCCATCACAAAGATGAGATCTTTAGGCTGAGGGCTAATTTAGATGACTTTCTGAAATCCATTCTCCCTTTTTTTTTTTTCCTGTTCTCCTTTTAAAATGCACAATGTGACTTATATAAATAGTATGGCTTTACACAGTACTTCTTAATATTAAAAAAGGCACCGAGATAGCTAGCTTGATAAATTATTACATGCCCCACCCATCTTCCCCTCACCCTGGTCTATCAACATTGGCATGCGAGCTTGTTTGTGACACTGAAGAGTCAGCTGCAGTGATAACATTTTTTCCTTGGAGCTGTGTATGTCGAATGAGCTCCAGGAAAAAAGCTCACTGGTCCTGCCAACAAGAGTGGGTTGCCTCTCAGAAAGTCCCAGTTGGGGTCTGCTCAGTGAAATGACACAAAGCAGTGACACCATCAGGGGCAAGCCCAGCAGTGCTTCCCCCAGAAGAGCATGAGGCCCAACCGCTCATTTTCTGCAGCTCAGGGACAGGCCTGTGCCCCTGAAGTTCCAAAGGGCACAGGGCAGGCATCCCTTTGTTCCTTATGCTCCAGGTGACCAATCAGGCCCCAAATCAGAAGACATTCACTCTCGCCAGTACAGCAGGCCATGTGGAATGAAAGCAGTAATTAATGACAAATAATAATTTTAATACATGCATACACTTTCCCCTCTCTGGAACTATACCTAACTTTGCAGTTTTAAAAACATGCATTTCTTTTCTAGCTTTAGCATGAAAAACAAAATAGCGTTTTTCTCAGACCCTTCCTGATTCATACTAAATGTTTTCTCCCAAAGGTAAAAATAGTCCAACAAAATTCCAGATTTATTTAGGACTCTTGTGGTCTTCTCAGAAAAGCAACTAAAATGATGGGTTGCATTGGTGAAGAGTGGATGGGTACAGTCAGACCCCCTACCGTGAGCATAGCTCTCTATGAAAGTAGAATCCTGGGAACACCCAAGGATGCAAAGAAATCCCCAAGGGCCATAGGATCAGGTCTGAGGTGATTCCAGAATGGGATTCTGTTAACATCGTCCTTGAAGCGATGCCACATGAAGATGCCAGTGTGTATGGTGCTCTGTTACTGTGGGGCAGGCACTGAGAAAACTGCTTTTGTGCAAGAGGGAGAGGCCCTTAGTGTAGGCAAGGGGCATTGAAGGCACATGCCTTTCTGGCAAGGGTGTGGGCCTATTTCTGCTGGCACGCAGGCTGGCTGCTTCCAACAGAAGCGTGCACGTGGGATTGCTGGGAAGAGCACGTCTCATCAAGGTATCCAAGTGGCGTTGGACATGCATGAGTGAAATCATTGTATTGATCATAAATCAGTACATAGGTGTTTCAATTTTGGTCTTACCTTCAAATCTCTTTTATATACAATATTTCATTGGATTCTCATTATAGTTTTTATTATTGATATATCCACTTACCAGATAATGAGCAATTTCGGACTTGCCAAAGGTTACATTCAGAAGGATTACAATGGAAAGTCACCATATCATGTGGATATGGCTTTTCCTGGAGACCGTCTCCGCAGCAGTAAAAATTTCGGCATTTATTGAGTACTTACTGTGTTTCAGTGCCCTGAAATAAGCACCTTGCATACATTATTTTATTTAATCCTTACTATATCTTTATGAGAAAGGTGATATTAAACCCATTTCATGGATGAGGAAATTGAGTCAGGCAGGTTCCTTAGGCAAGGTGTCTCAAATAAGTGAAGGAAGCAGGACTGGTTTGTCTGACTGCCAAACCCTACATGAGTATTTCATAAGACATATATTGCCCTCTAAAGGAAGAAGCTACGGTTAGCTTTATTTTGCTTAAAACTAACTGCATATATATTACTTCAGTGTTGAAAAGAGCAATGATAATGCTCACAGGCTTATGCTTTGCCTTTAGGCCCAATGGTTCATGCTGAGGTGGGCGACTCCATCCTGATCATATTTAAGAACAAAGCCAACCGGCCCTACTCCATCTCAGCCCAAGGTATTGCAGACATGGAGAGCGGAAAGCAGCTCCAAGCATCTGTCACAAGGCCAGGTAATTTACATGGGAGATCTGCTCCATGCTGATAAGGACACTGGACTCAACTCTCTTCTGAAATTTTCTGATCTTTGAAGGCTCTTGGAAGGCTCATCTTAATGCCAACATGTTTCATCCATCACATAGTCACTCTTAATATAGGATCATCATTCATCTAATGACCAAGTAGTTATGCTGTTTCTAGGCATCCATTAGGGACCTAAATGCGTTAAGACATAATAATAGCTGATACATATTGAATGTCATCTTTTGCCAGGTGCTACGCTTTATATTTTTAAAAAAACAAATAAAGTTTCTTTTTCCTTACAATAGCCCAACAAGGTAGACACTAACATATGTCATTGACTCTGATGCCATTGATTAGAATATCCATCATTATTCTTATCTGTTAATAAAAAAAAAAAGAACACATGGCCAATTAGACCTTAGCATGCCGCTGATTGAAAGATGCATCTTGATTTGAGTTATGTTAAAATGTAAAAAATGCACATCCTACAATTGAGGGAAATATGATATTGTTATGTCCATTTAACAGATGACTGAAGAACAGAGGGGTAAAGAACTTGACTGGGTCATACATTAGTAACAGTGAAACCTCAGTTTGTTGGACTTAGAACCTCTGCTCTTAGCCATACGTTTCTTTTGAGTTGCTTAAAATGAATTCGGAAGAAAAAAAGACAAACAAGATGAATCATTTCAGTAGTAATGCAGATTATGCCTAATGAAATTCTAAGTGGTGAAGAGTTTCAAGAATGTATCTGGGAATGTTTACAAAAGTTTCAGAGAAGGAAAATCCATAAAGATTGATTGATTGATTGATTGATTCAGAGCAAATAAAGTAGTAGTTAGGGAAAGCTTTCTAAAAGAGGTGGAACTCTACCTGGGTTTTAAAATATATACTGAAGGGAGAGAAGGTCTCATACTTTAAAGAGCGTCCTGTAACATTTACACAGTTGAAATGTGGTTGTAGTAAATGTCAGGATCCTCTGTGACCTTCAGTTACAAAATTGAGAGCAATCATAAGAATAATTAGAGGGGAATTATATTCCATTTTACTTCTCATATATATATATATATGTATATATACATACATGTATATAATACTAAATACTATAGTAATTGCAATAAAGGTCATATAAACCTGTAAAATGTTAAAGATGCATAGAAGGAAGAAAAGAAAACAATCTAATGCATCATGAGAAAAAATTAGCTAGATATTCCTACAAGGATGGGATTGAGGAAAAGAAATCTTCACTGGCCACAATTCCATCCTCTCTTGCCACTCCACACCCCACACTTCCCCCAGTTCAGAAATCTGTCTTTTGCTGCTTCAAGAAATCTCTCATGAACATTCTAAATGTCTGTCTATAGGGAGATACTCAAACACATTTTGGACTATCCTTCTGATGAACTATTACACAGCCATTAAATGATGTTTAAGAAGGTTTTAATGACATGGGAAAAACTTGTGGTATCATGTTAAGCAAAATACAGGTATAGAACAAAGGTTAAAAAGGAAATAAACCAAAATGTTCATAATGGTTGCATCTTTGAGATAGTATTTTAAGTAATAGGGTGATGCTCCTTTCTACATCTTCACCTTGTTTGTACTTTCTACATTTTCTGTATTGGATGTCTCACTTTTATGAAGAGGGAATTGGTTTTAGTTGGGTCAAAAAAGCAACTAAAGTTATTTGATGGCAAAAAGTAACTCAGGAGGGAGGAAGAAGGTGCCAGTCAGGCCTGGGGAAGGGCTCCGACAGGGCTGTGGGTCAGCTGGGGTGAGCCCTCACAGGCTGCTATGCCCTGATGGTGAGGACTGGCAAGGGACATAGTTCTTCTGTGCTGACTGGCCTTCTAAGTGTCCTTAATGGGGTTATGGGGGTAGAGGGAAGAATGATTAGAACATAGCAAAGGAGGCTTTTACTCACTGGAACTTGGAGGGAGAGAATCTCCACAAGGGTCTCTGTCTGACAAGGTTGAAAGACTCAGGAGAGCCCAGAGACGGGGGGTGGGGGAGGGTAGGAGGAAGAAATTAATTTCTTGCACAAAATCCAGACAGGTTGGAGAATGGTTAATTCAGGCATGCATGAGATAAGCAAAGCAATCCCTCTCAAATTTCTTCTTCTCCTTTTCCTTCTTTTTCATGCCGCCACTCGACATGCATGTCCTGAACATCTTCTTTTGTTTAGAACTGTGCTCCCCAGTGGGGTGAATAATGGATCATTCCAACCTTAATAATACCTCCCCTTAGCCACTCGCATTGAGGACGCTAAATATCAGTGGTTTTTCTTGCAATTAACAAGGCAGAGGGGCTATTATTAAAGGTAATGGAAACTAGACCCAAGGTTATATTGCTAACCTACCGGTGGATCAGCAAATATGGAGGAGTGACCTACAAGCATCATTTTTGTTTTGCCTTGTGGCTTGCACTCAGCTATAGGCTGTATGTCCAGATGAGAAGGGATGGGACTTAGACAGTTCAAAAAGAGATAGCAATTTTTATTTATTTATTTTTTTGATTAATTATTTTTATTAACATATAATGTATTATTTGCCCCAGGGGTACAGGTCTGTGAATCGTCAGGTTTACACACGACACAGCACTCACCATAAGACATACCCTCCGCAATGTCCATAACCCCACCATCCTCTCCATAACTCCCTCCCCCAAGCAACCTTCAGTTTGTTTTGTGAGATTAAGAGTCTCTATGGGGGCACCTGGGTGGCTCAGTGGGTTAAGAAGCCTCTGCCTTCGGCTCAGGTCATGATCTCAGGGCCCTGGGATCAAGCCCCGCGTCAAGCCGCGCATCGGGCTTACTGCTCAGCAGGGAGCCTGCTTCCCCCCGCCTCTCTCTGCCTGCCTCTCTGCCTACTCGTGATCTCTGTCTGTCAAATAAATAAAATATTTTTTTAAAAAAAGAGTCTCTTATGGTTTGTCTCCCTCTTGATCTCATCTTGCTTCATTTTTCCCTTCCCTATCCCGCAAATGCCCCAGTCTGCCTCTCAAATTCCTCATATCAGGGAGATCATATGATAATTGTCTTTCTCTGACTGACTTATTTCAGTCAGCATAATACCCTCTAGCTCCATCCATGTTGTTGCAAATGGCAAGATTTCATTCTTTTGATGGCTGCATAGTATTCCATTGTGTGTGTGTGTGTGTGTGTGTGTGTGTGTGTGTGTGTATACACACCACAAGGAGATAGCACTTTAAATGTGGCTTTCATTTGAGACTTTGACAATGTGATTATCTTGCTAATGTATGTGAGTTTATTTGTGACTCCTCTGCAAGGCTCTGGGTCAGCCACAGGGGATGCATAGATGTGGTGCCTGGCATTCATTTGTTGTAGCACACGTATGAATGAACATTTATTAACTGCCTTCAATGTGAGGCACTAACCTAGGTATTTTATTTTATTTAATCTTAACAGCAATCTGAAAAGTGGGATGACTAATCCCCTTTACAAGTGAGGAGACTAAAGGTCAGTGAAGTTAAGTAGTTTGTCAAAAGTTAGATAAATAAGAAGTGATAGGGTTGAGATTTGGAACTAAGTCTCTCTGATTCTCTCCGGTTCTAAATAGATATCATGGGTCTGCACAATAGAATCAACTGAGAAGCTTTTTAAAAAAATACTGATGCCCTATTCCTAGACTCCAGATACTTTAATTTAATTGGTTTGCAATGAGACCTCAGCAGTAAGAGTTTATAAAGCTCCTTAGTGAGTCAATCAGAAATCAAGGCTGAGTCCCACAGTAACTCAAGTGTACTCAAGCTTAGCTCTTGGGAGGGAGATATGAAATTTGAGGAGAAAAAACAGTGAGGAATACAATACATTTTCATGTCTTGAGTAAACATCCATTGATAACAGAAAGGTCAAATTAGAAAGGAATTTGTAGTCTGGAATGAAAAATCTGCCATTTTGCAAATTCAGAAAATCAAGATGTAGGTTTAATTGGAACATTTATAATGGATGAGTAATTCTCCCTAGCAATAAACATTAACCAAAATATATAAAGATCTGTTTATTTCTTCAGGTAAAACATCTGAAACAAAGGTAACACTAATAAATTCTATTTCTTCTCATTTGCTTCAGGAGAAATAAACACGTACAGGTGGAATGTCCCTAAAAGATCTGGTCCAGGACCAAATGACCCAAATTGTATTCCGTCAGTTTACTATTCAACAGTAAACTTTGTGAAGGTAAGACTGAGAAAGAAACCAAAATGCTTTAAGTAATATGGCTTTAAATCAATTATTCAAGTTATCACAACTTGGTTGAATATATGTGAAGGGTGTAATGGTTGAGAGCAGAAATTTCAAACTATGGCCATGCACATTTGTTAACATCGTCTATGGTTGAGTTGAGTGGTATTAAGAAAACAAAATTCAAATGAGTAGATTTTAGAGGTCTCATGGGCTTTATTCAACAATTCATGATTTGGGCAGCTTCCCTCCTACAGATAGGAAGGATCTCTGAAGAACTGTACAAAATGAATGACTTGTATAGGCAGAAGGGGGCAAAACAAGGAAGTTACTAGCAAAGAGTGGATAGTTTATGGCAGGGTCACCTTCCTTTAAGGGATAGCAGGGGTCTGTCAAGCAGATTACCTCACTAGTGCTAGTGATTGACTAGTTTAAGATTCTATTCCTGGGAGAGATTGAAACTGGAATTAACCTAGGAAGTAAGTCTTGGTTTGGTGATATGGGTTTAGCACAAGTGACTCCATTACGTACCTGTTGTCTTTTTTTTTTTTTTTTAAGAGTTTATTTATTTATTTGACAGACAGAGATCACAAGTAGGCAGAGGCAGGCAGAGAGAGAAGAGGAAGCAGGCTCCCTGCTGAGCAGAGAGTCCAATGCGCGGCTCGATCTCAGGACCCTGGGACCGTGACCTGAGCCGAAGGCAGAGGACTTAACCCACTAAGCCATCCAGGCACACCTGTCATGATTCAGATCGTTGAATCTCTGTGGTATTCATAGGTCACAGATTCAGGTTTACATTTCTTAAGTTGGTCATTCTCTTCATTCTTTTTCCAATGTTCCAGTCTTAGTGAGACCATTTGCTCACTTAGCAGCTATGAACATGCATTTCAAGCTTTTGAGGGAATACAGTGCACCAGGGAGACTACTGTGATGATTATAAGCAGAACAATCCCCACTTTATGGTGTGCACTTTGGAGCCAGGATCCCCAAGGCAAACCAATCAAAATAAAATGAGTCAAAGAAAGACCAGATTGAAGGAGTCACTTTCTAAAGCCAAGTGGCTTATTCAGTGGTTTTATGTATCTGAGTTTCAACTTCCCAAGAAATGCTATCCAGGTGCAAGTGGTGGTGTCCACAGCACAAACACCTCCTTGTTCAGCTAAAAGATAATAAAAGGCTATCCTATGATCCAGGACAACTTTGGCCTTGCAAAGATGGGGACTGCTCGTGAGATCTTTTTGTGATTGGAGCTGATCTGATTCAGATAATCAGAAGAATGTAGGGGGGCAAATGTGCTATGATTTGTATATGCATTTGTGTTTAACTGAACAAAGTACAGTCATAACTAGAGAAAGGAAAAACAAAACATGGATATTCTGACCATAAAAGTTGGACTTTGTAAGTGATTCCTAAGTGGTGGTGGTGGGGGTCAATTAAGAATAGAAGAAAAAAAAAAGAATAGAAGAAAAACTGGTCAGAGGGTGGACCACAGGGTCTTTAGCATCATAGTCTTTGAAGACAAATCCAGCAGTCTGAAACCCTAACCCCACCTTAACAAGGGCCTGAAAGATATAGATGATGGTGTTATCTTTCCAGACCAATACCAGAGTAAAGGAAAGAAAGAGAAGGAAGTGTTTCATGTTTAGTTAAAGTATGAAGCTTTGATGTGGTATCTTGGTTGGAAACAGTCTACCTCAACATAGGCTATTTCTTTTCCTAGTCAATTTGATTTGGAAATCTCCAATGTTTGTACAGAACCAGATGACAGGTAGAGCCTTCTTCAGCTCAGTAATCAGGAGCACTTGATAAGCTCTTCCCTTGAGCCTCAGTCTTACAAAAATATCAGAGTACGATAATAACTTTCTGTGAATAATTAAAGACTTTAACATTATCCATGGTTAAAGGTATAATGAGAGTTCATTATCATGGAATTCACAAGGAAATTTGGTTATTTCTGTAACATACAACATTTTAAAAATAACTGGAATTATACTGATAACATGATATTAGGATGTATCAAATTTCTAGGAATTTTACACAATTTCTAGAACATTTATAATATGTATCTGTACAAATATAATATAAAGAAGGCTTAACATTACTTCTTATTTCGTAATGTTTCCCATGTGATTTAATGTATCAAATTAGTGCAACATCTCTCTTCTAATAAGGAGAGAGAGCAAATCTTTTTTTTTTAAGATCTATTTATTTACTTGAGAGGGAGAGAAGGTGAAAGGGGAGGGGCAGAGGGAAAACCCCAAGCAGACTCCGCACTGAGTGTGGAGCCTGATGCATGGCTCAGTCTCATGACCCTGAGATCACAACATGAGCCACAACCAAGAGTCAGATGCTCAACTGACTGAGCCACCCAGGTGTCCCAAGAACAAATCTTTTGAAATGTTCTAGGGACCCTCTCAAAATATCTTAAAAGTTGGTTCATGGCCAAAAAGACTCCATTTAAAATTTGATTTGGGGAAAGTTTCTCAAAAATATCAAAAGGTTAATACTTGGCCAGGGGCTCCTGGGTGGCTCAGTTGTTCAGCGTCTGCCCTCGGTTGAGGTCATGATCTCAGGTTCTCAGGATCGAGCCCCGTGTCAGGCTCCCTGCTAGACAGGAAGCCTGCTTCTCCCTCCACTCCCTCTGCTTGTGTCTCCTCTCTCGGTGTCTCTCTCTCTGTCAAATAAATAAATAAAATCTTAAAAAAAATACTTGGCTAAATAGGATCATAGTTTCCTGTGAAACAGTAAGTAGTTTTCCATTTAACCAGAGTCATAAGTCTGCATGAGGCAAATACAGAATGATAAATAGTTCTAAGAAAATCTTAGCTCTTTTAGTAGAGAAGACTCAGTTCTCTTACATATTTAATGTTGATAAAGACAACATTAAATATAGAATATTATTTTGGTAAGACAGAATCTTTGTTTTGTAGGCAGATTACTTCAAAGGTAAAACACATATACACACAACCATTACTATTGTTTATCAAGAGCAAACCAGTCATCCAAAGAAACTGTCTTTTTAACGGAGAGGAAACCAAATTCTAACTTCATACCAGTGTATTTTTTTTTTAAAAGTGTGATTAACAAACTATTAGTTATAGGGTCAATATATTGACTCAACAATTCTATGTATCACTCAGTGCTCACCACAATAAGTACTAGTCACCACCTGTCACCCTACAACATTATTATAATACTATTGTAATAATGTTTGTGATAATATGTATGTAACATTTCCTATGCTGTATTCTTCATCTCCTAGATTTATTTATGCTATAACTGGAATTTTGTTCCTCATAATCTCTTTCATCTAGTTCACCCAACCCCCCCCATTGCCTCTCTGACAACTAACAGTTTATTTTCTGTTTTTAAGGGTCTCAGTTTTTGTTTATTTGCTTATTTGTTCTTTGTTTCTTTCTCTGTTCATTTGTTTTATTTTTTAGATATTTTTTCTTACTTTCTAGAAGTGAAATCATATGATATTTTAATTTCTCTGACATATTTTTCTTAGCATATTACCCTCCAGTTTCATCCATATTGTCATAAATGACAAGGTCTCACAAATCTTTTTTACAGGCCTCGATGTGTGTGTGTGTGTGTGTGTGTGTGTGTAAAATCTTTATCCATTCATCTATAAACAGGCACTTGGGTTGCTTTCAAATCTTGACTATTGTGAATATGATGCAATAAACATAGGGGTGTATATATCTTTTTGATACCCAGTAGTGGAATTACTGGAACATATGGCATTTCTGGTTTTAATTATGAGGAACCTCCTTACTGTTTTCCACGGTGGCTGCACCAAGTTACATTCCCGCCAATGGTGCAAGAGAGTTCCTATTTCTCCACATCCTCACCAACACATCTTTCATGTGTCTGTAGTCCATCTGTATATCTTCTTTGGAAAAATGTCTACTCAAATCCTCTGCACATTTTAAAATTTAATTATTTGCTTTTTGGTATTGAGTTGTTTAAGTTCCTTATATATTTTTAATATTAACTCCTTATTAAAGATAATTTGCAAATATCTTCTCCCATTTAGTAGGTTGCCTTTTCATTTTGTTATTGGTTTCATTGATTGTACAAAAGCTTTTTATTTTGGTGTAATTCCAATTTTTTTTTTTTTTGCTTTTGTTCCTCTTACCTGAAAGATATACCTAGAAAAATGTGCTATGGCTAGTGTCAGAGATTTTACTGCCTGTGCTCTCTTTAAGGATTTTTATGGGTTCATCTCACATTTAGGTCTTTAATCCATTTCAGTTCATTTTTGTGTGTGGAGTAAGAATGTTTCATTCTTTTGCATGTAGCTGTTCGGTTTTCCCAACACCATTTATTGAAGAGACTGTCTTTTCCCCCATTGTATATCTTTCCCTCCTTTATCATAGATTAATTGATCATATAATCATAAGTTTATTTCTAGTCTCTCTATTCTGTTCTATTGATCTATGTCTCTATTTCTGTGCCAATATCATACTAGTTTGATTACTACAGCTTTGTAATATAGCATGAAATCTGGGATTGTGACATCTACAGTTTTGTTCTTTCTCAACATTTCTTTGATTTGTAGTATTTTGTGGTTACATACAGATTTTAGTTCATTTGTACTAGTTCTGTAAAAGATGCTATTAATATTTTGATAGAGATTGTGTTGAATCTGTAGATTGCTTTGGGTAGTATAGATATTTTAACAATATTTATTCTTCTAATCCATGAGCATGGAATACCTTTCCAGTTGTGTCATCCCTAGTTTCCTTCATCATTGCTTTATAGGTTTCAGAGTACAGGTCTTACACATCCTTGGTTAAATTTATTCCTAAATATTTTGCTCTTTTTTGGTACAATTGTAAATGGGATTATTTTCTTAATTTCTCTTTCTACTACTTCATTATTAGTGTATAGATATGCACCAGTTTTCTGTATATTAACTTTGCTTTCTGCAACTTTGCTGAATTCATTTATCAGTTCTAATAGTTCTTTGGTGGAGCCTTTAGGGTTTC